ATCCCAGAAGAACAGCACTGCAGTTCAAACAGGTTCTCATTTGCTTGACCTCCACCCACGTGAAATGCTGCCCTCTGGAGCGTGGGTGCAAAATGTTCTTTTTGGGGCAAAAATCTGACCTCTTGAGTGGGATGTGAGTGAGGGTGTACTGGCAAAGGGAGAAAGGAATAAGTTCAAGGCAATGGGATTTAATCAAGCAAGTGTTTGGGTCTTAGGAGATGAGCTGTGCGGTTTAAAAAGGCAGCAGTTTGGACTTGCTGGAGAAAATTGTACTCAGGAGTATAAGGCTTGTTTCCGTCACTGCCAGGGTACGGCTTCCAGGTCCAAAGGCTTTCCCAAAATCCATGGGGGTTTGGAAGGATGCAGTGTGAGCAGTATCTGTGCTCTCTGTGGGGGCTGTGTGGGGTGCCCGGAGCTGAGAGGTCTCTGTGATGGCCATGTGGGGTGTTTGGGTCTTAGGGGACTCTCATGGCTCTGGGGGATGCCCGGGGCTGAGGGGTCTCAGTGAGGGCTGTGTGGGGCACCCGGGGCTGAGGGGTCTCCTGAGGGCCGTGTGGGGTGTCTGGGGCTGAGGGGTCTCTGTGAGGGCTGTGTGGGATGTCTGGGGCTGAAGGGTCTCTGTGAGGGCTGTCTGGGTTGCCCAGGGGCTGAAGGGTCTCTGGACAGAGTTGGATCCTGGATAAAGCGTTGGGATAGGGCGGGAACGTGTGTTAATTTCAGTCTGTTCCTTGTTATTATCTACTTTAATTGGCAGTAAATCAGCTTTGCCTTAGTCCAGTCTGTTATGCCAGCAAAGAGTGGTGAATGATCTCCCTGCCTTTATCCTTTCATCCTGCATCCTCCCATCCTGCTCCCGAGGAGAGGAGAGGAGGGAACAGCTGGCTGGGCAGCTGGCCCCAGTCAATCCACCACAGTTAAATGTACTTAAATCCAGTCAGAGCTTACGTGCTGGTGCAAAAATACTCGCTGTGGTGATAAGTCACACATGGACAGTCACACAGCAGCCCTTGGACAGCAGGTTTCTGGTCAGGGCATGGTTTTTTTGCTCTGTATCTCCTTTGCTTTGCTAACAGTTGGTGTGAAGGGGAAGGAAAATGGGAGGACAAAAAAGAGACTCAGTGACTTGGGATCAGAGCAATGTTTCAGAGAGACCAGAACGTAACAGAGTTCAGGAGCAAAAGGAGTTGGAACCCTGAAATGAGGGAAAGATGGATAAATGGAGCTCTCCTTTGAGGTGGGTAATTTGGTTACTGTGGCTGCTTGGGAACCATCGCAGCAGTTCTCATCACTGAGATTCCAGCCGGGAGGTTTTAGGATAACAAGCACTTCTACAGCCAGGACAGACAGTCAGTGTTTCATGCTGTGAAAGTCAGGATAGAGGAAAATAGCTGTTGCTTGTTGGAAAAGGTGAGCTGCTTTGTGTCAGACTTAAGGAAGGCCCTTTTCTTAATTTGTAAGATAGATTTTGCTGCTGGCACTTTCAAACGTGTTTCCTGAATGTTTCACTTGGAGTGAGAAATTTTTATGCAGAGAGTGCCTTTGTTTTTCACAAAAGCTCTGCAGCTTTTGGTCCAGGTAATGAGTTAGCAAAATCTTTTACTTTACTTTTTTCATGCTTGGGGGTGTTTGTTTTTTTCTGGACCACCTCTTTCCTGATCTTAATTAGGGATTGGAGACTCGATCTCCCAAAGTTGTTACCATTCCATCACTGATAATTGCATAACTGGAGAACAGGAGCTCTGCCACATTGCTCCCTCTTTTCCTATCAAAGAGCACTCACTGGCAGCTAAAGGGCTGATTTTTCCAGCAGGGCTTTGATTAACTTTGTCACCCATGGTAGTATTGAGAAAGCTACATCAGGACCTATAGAGATGTTGTTATTTTTACCTTTGGGTTGTCCAATATAGACTTGGACAAGGCTGGAGGAAGCTTTAGTTTTGAATAAAGGACTGGGATTTTTTTCATTCTGGGAGCAAAGCTGCTGCATAACCCTGAGCATCTTAACATGCATCTTACTGCAGATAGCAAAGAAAATGAAAGATCCCATGGATGTGGAAAGTGAATTCCTGAATATGTTGAGACCCGGAAAGTTATTCTGGTGCTTAGAGCTTCTCATTTCAGTGGTCTGGCTTTGGTGCTTTTCACACTCCAAATACTACTTATTTTGGAAGTGGTGGACAATCAGTCTCAACTGAAACCTGGATGTAGTTAATTCCACACTTCACTGCTGAGGGGAGGTGTGAGCTGTCGACTGACTGATGGTGAGATCTGGTCAGTAAAGCTTGAAACAAGTCCCTCTCTCTGCCCCACTCCAGTCCCCAGCCTCAGCTTTCTGCCGTATTTCTACATGAAGCTGTTGAACTGCAGACATCGGATAAAGGGTTCAGAACATCTCTCTCCATCTCAGTTTTCAAACAGTCTCCCTTCAGGAATAAAAATGATGGATGATTATTTAAGCTCTTGCTAACCTTGGCTGGCAGATCATGACATTTCTGTCTCTACTGAGTTTGAGTTCATTTGTTCCTTTTTTTTTTTTCTTTTTTTCCCTTTTCCTGACCAGTGGAGACTGTTTTTGTAGATAAGAAATTCCACCAGCAGCACATATCACACTGCACAGTCCAGGGCTGCAGGAGTGACAGATACATGTGGTTTAACAGCATCCCTCCTGTAAAACATACTGGCAGCACAGTCCTGGGGGGAGGTGTTAATGAAACAGAGGGGTTCAGCCCATATTGAGATGCAAGAATTGTCCAAGTGGTTAAATCCAGGGACACCTCAGCTTTTTGATGAGTCACTTAACAAGCCCTGTGTTTTCAACCTGTTTTGCCTTTTCCCCTGTTCTTGCCATGTTGTTCCAGGACAGGAGGCTCCTGGAGCAGTCAGGTACTCATAGCCTTAAGGTAAAGTCTTTGTAGGTGCTGCCTGATAATATCTTCCAGTCAAATGGTTATTTTGCAATGGGTTTAGGATTTCCTGAAAACTGCTACTGGATTTTTGGGCTGCTGTGCAAGGCAGGCTCGTGCTGTGCAGTGTTTCAGAAAATGGGCAGTTAATTCTGTGTGGAAGGGAAGAGTGAGGCACTGAAAACTACATATCATTGCCAGGCTGCCGTGGGATCAGATAAAACAGGTACATAGTCTTTGGGGTAGTGCTCTCTGACAGGAAGGTTTGTGTGAATTCTACCCTCTTACTATTGTGACTGATACTATTTTTTAGAAGGGTTAAAATTCTCGTCCTTAGGTAAAAATCGGTTCTGAGAACTGTCTTGCATGTGGTGCAGCTTCTGATCATTGAAGCTTCTGACTTTTTTCATAATATAATAGTGATGTCAAGACAACAGAGCTTGATTTGTCCACAATGTGAGACTGTAGCTGTGTTTTTTCTCAGGTAGTTTTGAGTTTCTGAACCTGTTTTTTTTTCAGGTGGAGGGTGGTCCTGGCTGCTCAGCAGCAGCACAAGGGTGTCCATCAGTCCAGTTGCTATTTAGCAAATGTTAAAAGGGCAAGTTTGCCCTTTGTTTCACAACATTCAGGGGGTTTTGAAATGTTACTTTTGCCAAAACATGCAATTTCCCACTTGAGTTAGAGCTGTTTAATGCCCAGTTCTCTTTTCCTGTGATCTGCCTGTTTGATTCTCAACCGTGGGAAGCTGAAAATGCAGTTATGAGGAGGAAAATTGAAAATGACTTGACTGATTTTTCATTGTCAAAACCGAAAGAAATGAAGTGTAAATAAGCACAACATGAATTTCTAAAGCTGACAATGCAGTGACCATCAGGGCCAAAGATTGGTTGTAAAACTCTCCTTTGGTTTGCATAGCAGGCTTCAGAGGACAAGCAAAGTAGCAGTTAAATCATATTTTAGTGAGATTATTGAAGGCAACCTCACAAAATATAGAGGTCTGGACAATTTGGCAGAGAAATCATCAACAGCGTGGGTTTTGTTTGCAAACTTCCATTGGAAATTTATTTAAACAAGGCCTCCCCATGAGATACCTTTATAGGAATGTCAGTTTGGCAGCTGTGTTTTAGCAGTGAGCAAAGAAAAACATATCCCAGACCATAGGAATGCCCAAATTGGACCACAGCTGTTGAAAAATTTGAGGCTAGCCAGTGAAATACATCCCACCATAGACAGGTGAGAGCTGCTTCTGTGCCTTATTCTGTTTTATAAGGGGGACGTTTTGTGCCAAAGTTAAAATTTTGCTGTTGGGGAGGATTAGTATATAACTAGTATAATTTATTCTAAGAGACAGACTTTAAATCAGTCTGATTCCAGATTTTTCATGGACAGATGAGTCCCTTGCCAAGATTGCAGAGCATATGAACCATTCATGCACTTCCTTTATTGAGCTGTCGTGGGGTTTTTTATGGCTCAATATTACAATTATTGCTTTTTATCTTGGAACAATTTGTCCTGCGAACAGGCGTGTTTACTACTTGTGTCTTGAGTTTGGCTTCCCTGTGTAAGGACAAGGAAAAAGTCACGTTGGCACAGAAAACAACCAAAGAGAATGAAGGTCTTAATCCACAACTCTGTGAACATCCCCTCCGTTATGCTAAAACTTCTTTTTTATTTTTTAATCTTTAAAGACTGATGCTTTTATGTGATTTCTGCTTTATGTCTGCATAATAAACCAGATTGATTTCTGAAAACTGATTAACCACGTGGCTTTAAAAATACCCGTCAGGTTAAGGAAAACAAACCACAGCTGTTCTGCTGCAGACTCTCAGCTCCGTGTGCGGAGGGTGAGGTGTGTAGAGGTGAACTTGGCCGAGGGGGGAAACCCTGTGGGGTGACAGATGGGAAGAGAAGAGGCTGTTCCTGAGAGGTGCTCCCGGTTCGTGGCTACCCCTGCGGTGGATGGGAGGAAGTGCCCGGCGCAGGGATTTGGGATGGGGCTGGTGGGAAAGGCGGGGAGGGGGGGGGGACACAGGAGGTGGCACGATCCTGCCAGACTCTGAACATTTGTCCTTTTTTTGCTGTGCTTGTGTTTTCCAGGTGCATCAGCGGCTGTCTCCTTGGCAGAGCGTGCGAGTGGTGTATTGCAGTACCGTAGTGCCCTCTGATGGTGAGTACACACGTGCAGCAACTCCTGGCTCGCTTGGACTTCACTCAGCTCCGGTTTCCTTCCCTTCCCCCCTTTTCTGGTTGAGGCTTTTTTGGCAGCAGTCCAGTTTGGAGCTAAGGAAGCGACAGAGAGAACAACGTCAAGAAGGATTAAGGCAGTGGTCAATTTTTCTGCTAACTGTCCGAACAAAAGCGGACAGGCTTTATAAAGAAAGATGGAATTGCGTGCAACTGTCTGGGTCTGTTTGCCAGGCGTGTTCCTGATGTTGCTGTGAGGTCTGTGTGATGCTTACCCTGCAGGGTAAACGTCCTTCCTGAAGGGAGGGGATCAGACCATGGACCAGGCTCTGCTCGGTGGTGCTGAGCAGTGGGACAAGGGGCAGCGGGCACAAACTGATGCCCAGGAAGTTCCACCTGGACGTGAGGAAGAACTTTTTCACTGTGCAGCGACCGAGCACTGAACAGATTGGCCAGAGAGCGTGTGGAGTCTCCTCACTGGAGATACTCCAGAACTGTCTGGGCACAATCCTGTGCCATGTGCTCTGGGATGACCTGCTGGAGCAGGAAGGTAGGGCCAGATGACCACTGTGTTCCCTTCCAGACTGACTCAGTCTGATCCTGTGGTTCTGCCTGCCCTCTTGACTTCGTTTACGTAAGAAAAGTGCAGTTCATACCAGCTGTGTGCTGAAACAGTCGAAAGCATCGTTTGCTGCAGTGAATAGGTCGTGAAGACAAGGCATTGTTGGTTCCTTTATTTAAATTCTGGGACAACTCAGACATTAAGCTTTTTTGATAAGGTTGTCAGAGCAAAAGGATGCACTGGTGGAACTTGAAAAATCTCATTGTGCCAGAATGCAAAGAGGAAAGGAGCAGCTCTGAGCTTGCTGCCTGCTTAACATGGGCATGCTGTGCACCGAGACTGGAGTACTTGTGCTGACTGACACGAGCAGTGAGTGGATCCTCTCCCCGTTAAGGCTTGTTAAGAAGGCCTGAAAGCTAATAAATTAAGGGTTCCAGCACAGTCACTTCCCCCACCAGGATAGTGATGTGGGCAAACACGAAGAGAATGTGACTGCCGTGGAGAGCTCCGATAAAAACCTGAGGGATTAAACAGGTAGAAGTGCAGAGGACACGTGTAAGGTTGGGAGGATTATGTCAGTGTGCCTGGTATGATTTTACCTCTTCTCTGCTTGAATTAATTAACAATAATTAATTGAATAATTAACAATATTCTTTTTGTTATTTCTTTTGTTGTTTCTTCCAATAACTTTACTGTGCATTGGTTTTGACCTCATGTATTGCTTAATCCTTTATTTTTGGTATACTTTTGCTTATGCAAAACCAGAAGTGTTTAAAAGAAAATACCCATGACCTGCTGCTGGTGCACATGTGATTGAGTCGCAACTTTGTGCTGCTTGGATGAAACTCGTATCTCAAAGCAGCCTCACACTTAATATAGAGTGTAAAGCTTTTAAAATCCTCTACGGTCATAATTAGCAGCATCCCTGGCCAGGTTGTAGATGTCTGTGAATGCACACTTGGATACTCTTACTTTCTTGTCTTGTGTATTTAAATGCTGGCTTAACAGTGCAGATTAGCCCAAATGTTCCTCTATAATTAGTGAGGTGCCAAATGTTTTGTCCACTTAGTAACTTGTGAAGTAGATGCCGGTGATGGCACAGGGCTGTGGGAGCAGAGGCAACCCTATCACAGGGGCTTGTTCTAACTTTTCCTGGAGCTGTCTGCTGCTGCCTGCTTGGTTTGTGTTATTGACATGTCCTTTGGATTTCTTGCTTTTCTTTCTTTGCCTCCGAGCTCTTCCCTCTCCAATGCAGCAAAAACCTGACCAGCGTTACTTGTGTGGGAGGTGATGAGAGGATCAAACTGGAATTGTGGACTTTCCCCACCAGTGAATTAAGCTGGAAAATTACTTTTACAAGGAAAGCATAAAGCAGCTTTCTTTTCAGACTTAGTGAACCCTGCCTTTTGAAGGGAAATAATTTGGTCTGTAATACCTCACCTAAGCTGGAAATCCTCGAGAAAGGCTTCTGTGCGCTACCAGCGCTGATGACTCTTTAAAATGCAGCAGCAGGGCTGGTGCTGGCAGGCACTCCCCCCAGAGCTGGCAGTCCTGGAGCTGCGGTTGTGGTGTGGTAGCAACGGGGATACACAGAAAAGTGTCCATGCAAACAGTGTTATCTCTCCTGCTCTGCAGCAAAGTGCCTCACTGCTCGCTGCCCCCGTGATCCAGGCAGCGTTTTCAATCAGGTGTGTGCTCTGTGGTTATGTAAGCATGTCTGTTGCATATGCTGCTCACAGAACCAATGAATTCTATGCTTAAGTGGCTATTTTGAGCTCCCAAACATGTGGATTGCCCCTTCTGAGCCTGCTATGATGAGTGTAGCTAATGCTAATCTGTTTCTTACCAGTCTCTTGTTGAAATACTTGAGTGAAAACCCTCCAAAATCTGATAGCTGGTGTCATAACAGCTGCTGATAAGGAGCTTGAAATTCTGTCTAACTGTCCAAAGAAATTGGCAGTTTGCTTTATTTCTTCCCAGGAAATACCTGTCTGTTGTCTCTGAGCTCTGAGCTTCGAAACACTAAAGCTACTAAAATCCTGACAGGTGTCTGAGTCTTGAGAACAGACATTAATAGGTTTGCAAATTCTAGGGCCTCTTAGGTTGCTTTAGTCATGTTAGGTGTCCACACTTAGTCACTTCCACCTAGTCCTGAAGGAATTTGGGGTAGCAGTGCTCTGGAAGAGGGAAAAACCCTTTTTATGCTTGATGTAGTTCATGAAGGTGTGTGACAGTCAGCTCAGAAGCCCAAGAGAACTCTTCTGGCTTCGTTCAGGTGCACTTGGTGCATTCTTTCTCAACAGCCACGAGCCTCCCTTTTGGGACAGGTGTCTCCAAGACCTGTCCTAGTAGTAGTTCCCTTTGATAGTTAAAATAAGATTATTTGCCTTTCTTTCTGCTCATGTGATGACTTCTTTGACTGACTAGTTTTGATGTTAGCTGCTTAAATTGACTTAGCAGGTCAATCCATGAGTTGAAGTAGCTGGGAGTTGACCAAAGCTACACCAGGTGGGAATACTGAGGCAGATGCAGAGTGGGTGGGTGTGACTGAACCATCCTTGAGACGTGGCAAATGCTCTGAGCAATAAAACAGACCGTAGGTTTTTACATGAAGATACGTATCAAGTCAGATCATTTTTAGATTCACTGCTATATCTTAGCAACTGCTACACTTGAGGACAGCTTTGACTGGCTGTGACTGAGTAGAGGGCTTTGGAAACATGAACTTTTAACTTCCTGTGCATGGATGTCCTGAAGCACATGGGGTTGTCTTTCTGGCAGTGAAATAATAACCAGCTTACAGTTCTTACAGGTCACTACTAGGGATTTTAGAAAGGTGCACTGAAATCCTTGAGAATGCTTATGAAAAAAAAAATGCTTCTGGCAGAACTAAAGAAATGGGAAAATCTTGTCCTTTCTACACCTAAGTAGTGATGTCTGTCTCGAGAAGAGTATTGATCCCATGAATTTTAGATGAAATGACCTTGAAGCCTGAACTCAGAGTGCTGTTTCCTACAACCTCATGCTTCTGACTGCTCTCTTAAATATTTGTTGCCTCAGGACAAAGAGGAGGAAACCAGAACTAAACAAGAATAAAAACATTTGAAGTTGGTCCTTCCCTGGTGTTTCTTAATACACACAGTCTGCCTTTGTCTGCTGGGCTATAAATCCTGATAAATTGCAGTGTTTTGTCTTCCATAGTCCGAAACGTTTTGATTCTCAAAAACTAACCTAAACATACTGTCCTGCCATGTTTTGGCTTTTAGATATCGTGTTGCCTCTAGTATAAAGTTGACTGAGTTTACAGCAAGTAACTTTTTTGCCAAGTTAACGGGAGAGAAAACCTCAGGTGTCCCTCACTTTTTCTTTGATGGACACACGTTCTGATAAACCCAAAAGCTTAGTCTGCTTTATATTCGTCATATAACCACGTTTGCCTCTTTCTGCATGGGGCAAATAGAGAACTACTAATGTGAGAAGAGGTGTTAATTTTTAATGACCAGCTTGTATTTCTGTCATGTTTTAGAAGTGACAGTGGTTTACCAAAACGGGTTACCTGTGATTTCCGTGAGTCTTCCGTCGCGACGCGAGCGCTGCCAGTTCACCCTGAAACCTATCTCGGACTCTGTCGGGGTGTTCTTACAACAGCTGCAGGCAGAGGACCGAGGAATTGATCGGGTTGCAATCTACTCAGCAGGTACTGGTGGTTACAAACCAATTCATTTACAATCAATTGGTCTTTGCATCCAGCTTGTTGCTTTTGAAGTGAAAGTTTGCTGTGGGATGAGTTCTTCGACTTTGGTGAAAAAGCAGAAGGTAGAAATGCCCTTCCTAGAGTAAGAATATTGTTAGCTATCCCTGTGTAGTCCACTGTGCCAAGGGAATCAGCCTTAACTGAGGTGTTTTTTGGTGAGTTGCCTGCTATTTAGTAGGAAAGATGCAAGCTGTGCAACCTACTTAGGGGTTCTAATGGATCTGCAAGGCATTGTGTGTAAAAGGTGGTACAAGGGAAGCAGAATCTTGTCTTGGCTCTGAAAACTGAGTCGTGTTTCACATTTCATCCGTCCTGATGAAAACCATTGCCTGTGGGAAAGGATGGAAACCCAGCAGCTGGATTTGGGATGGTGTTTAAGTCCTTTATTCCTCCTGTGTAAGAAGCGGTCTGTGCTTTCCTTACAGATGGCACGCGCGTCGCCTCCTCCACAGGCATAGACCTGCTGCTGCTGGATGACTTCAAGCTGATCATTAATGATGTCACATACCATGTTAGACCACCAAAGAGAGGTAAAGCAACCTGGTTCTGGCGAACATCAGGAATAAATTTCAGTGTTCTGTTCCCTGCTTTAATGCATCGTGTTTTATTAACTTATTCAGGAACATGAAGTGTTTATTTCTGAAGGGAAGCATTGCAGTTTCTATTCCTGCCTTTGGTGTCTAATTTAGTGATATCTGATTAATCAGTAATGAAAAGCAGATATTCATTCCACTCAAAGCCAGTGCCTCCAGCCCCCCCCAGGAGGGATAAACAAAGAAATGTAATTCCTTTTCATTTCTAAAATTTTCAAATGTTTTTGGGTTGTTTTTTTAATTACTGAAAACTAATTTAATTTTACTCATTCTGAAGGAATACAATACAAAATGGCAATTGGATTGTCTGGTTTGGAAGAGTAAATTGTTGCTTCCCCTGACAGTTGACATTGCTTCCATTTAAGTGTGATGGTGTGAATATTGCAAATGTACCTCAAACAGTCAAGTAAATGAGACAATGCTTTCACAAAGCTGTGTTAACAAGAATCAAATAGGAAGGGAAACCGACCTATTTTGAATCAATGAGAAAATCCATTTCAATAATATGCTTTAGAGGTGTGTAATTGTCACAATGTGAAAACTTGCAAGAAGCTTTTGAGGCACTCCAGCGTTATGGGTGGAGGCAGGAACTTGGTGTTTTCATCTGCCCTCTCCTCTTTCTCCTAGCACCAAGGTCTTGCACCTCTGAGGGACTGCAACAAAAGGGGCAGTTTGGGAAATGCTGCTCTGCTTGTCCTCACAGTTGTGGGGGTTTTTGTCCGCTTTGTTGTTCTGTTATTGTTGTGGGAAATACTGGGATTCTAAAAAGAACTTGTAGGCCTGTAGACAGGCAGAAAGATTTGGAAGGATTTATTGCTTGACTTGCATGTCCAGTTGAGATTAGATGGTAAAAATACCTTCCCTGTTTATCTGGGCCTTTTTTCTAATGTTTGGGCCTTCCACTCTTCAAGCAGTAGATAATGAACAGAATCATTCATGAGGCAAGATCTGTGATCACTTAATCATCTTGACCAACCTGAAGAAGGCAACATATTAAAGCAAGTTGACCTATCAGAAATCAGGAAACTGACCACATCTTTTGGGTCACATTGTGTGTTTTAAAATGGAAACACCAGAGCACTGCCATCTTAAACACTGTTTGATGGTCACTTCATTAGGAACACGGGTTTTTCTTCACAGGGGAACAAGAATCCCTTAACTGAAGGGGGATATGATGTGCTTTGTGTGCCTTGGCATAGACAATCGAGTCATTTCTTTCCCTGAAGAGCTGCTGATCTTAAAGCTTAAGCTGCCCATGTCTTTTTGAGTTGTTAAAATCCTATTTTGAGACGATAACCTCAGGTACAAACCCAAGGATGCTACAAAAACTATTTTTTAAAAAATGCATTTCTTTATTTGGCTAATGTCAGGATCCTTTTCCTTTAATTTGAAACTTATTTTTTCCACGTGGAGTGTGTAACACAGTACCACTGGTCACAACTCCTTTACAAACCTGTATGCTTTAAAAATCCTTTTTGTGTCGAAATGCAAGGGTAAAAGCGATTTTGGTTCGTGGCCCTGTTACTGTTTCTAAACACCATGAAGGGAGCATTCACCGCCCACAAAGTGTTGGGAGAACAGTTCTTGACATTGATACTCAGAGTAATGACCATGAGACATTCGTGGGGTCACGAACCATCAGTGTTCAGTTGCCATCATCAATAACTGGGGCTGCTGACAGTCTGTGGCCTGAATTCTGACTGTGTCTCGACAGCTGCTGTGATGGATCATAACTAGTTTAGTTGTTCATTTGTCCTGTCTATAAATACGGATCAGAAGCAGCTGTTGATACCTGGCATGCTTAATAGGATGTATCTCTATCCCTTGTGCTTATCGAATTTTAGGAATATCCAAGAATAAAGCCTGGTTTTCTTTTAAAGGAATCCCATTGTCTGAGAGTGCTGGAGCTCTTCATTGTTGAAAAGATGGTTCTGTGCAGACTTAAGAGCAGTTTCTCGAGGGGGTGTGAGAAGTCCCGTGGGTGGGTACATGTGTGTCTGGTTTTTTTTTTTTCCCTAGAGCTCTTAAGCCATGAAAATGCAACGACGCTGAATGATGTGAAGACGTTGGTTCAGCAGTTGTACACAGCCTTGAGCATCGAGGAGCACCAGCTGAACAAAGAGAAAGAGCTGATAGGGAGACTAGAGGAGCTGAAGGAGCAACTAGCACCACTAGAAAAAGTGAGGGCTTCCTCAGTGTGCTTTACTCATTCTCCAAATGCAGCCCTTGATTTATTTCAAGGTTTTAATTAGGTCCCTGCCATGCTTCAGGTAGTTTAAAGATCACTGAAGCAGAAGGTGCACGAAGTGTTTACCAAACCATGTCTGTTTCTGGTTCCTGTGGAAGTATTTTGTTTCTTTGCTTTAAATAATTGGAAATGAACTTGTTAGTAAATAAAGACTGGGGCTAATGCAACAGAACATCTCTGGACATGAAGAAATAAACACCTTTGTGAGGCGTTCAGAGCATGCTCAGAGTAAATATGGATGATGGCCACATACTGATGGAAAAGAAGCTTAGGTTTGTTTGCATAATGTAGACTCAACTCATGTTTCAAACCACTTAAAGTTACTATTAATATAAGGTACTATTTTTTTTTACCTTATCTCTTAACGATTTTAACACAATTATTTTTGAGACTACAAGGTGCACGTTTGTCTTCTGCAGGTAAGGATGGAGCTCAGCAGGAAAGCAGAGAAGAGGACAACCCTGGTGTTGTGGGGAGGCCTGGCCTACATGGCCACTCAGTTTGGGATTCTGGCCCGCCTCACCTGGTGGGAATATTCTTGGGACATTATGGAGCCAGTCACCTATTTCATCACCTATGGTAGTGCCATGGCAATGTATGCTTATTTCGTAATGACCCGCCAGGTAGGACTTGTTGTGCTGACATTGCCCCTGCAGTAGAAGGCTTTCTTTGGGCTCTCCTCCCTAGAAAAAGAGCAGAACTGTGTGCCTGTTAGAAGCTGCTTTGCCCCTTCCTTATCTTGTCAGAACCAGTGCTTGTTTAATTTTTGATGGGGTGTGGTGGTGGGGTGTGGTTGTGGGGCTGTTCTGCTGCTGGTTGTTGCTTGGTTTTCTTACCAAAAATGCTTTTATGTGTTTGGTGACTGACTGCTGTGGCTATACAGGTTCATCTGCTGCCAGATATGGTCAGAACAGACAGGTATTGGGTACATGAGGTAACTGTTGAGTTTCAAGGAAGCCCATCCCTCTGACATGCAGTTTTTGCCCTCTTCAAGAGACCAAGGTTCAGGCATCTTGTTGGAAATGCCTTTGTTTAGGCCTTTCGTGGATCTAGCCTCCCATCCAGATGAAGAATCCCTCTCTGGATCTTTGTAACTGTGACAGATTCTGTGTGGATTTTCTAGTACATGGTTTCTCTCATCACTTCCTAATCCCACCTAAATAACGAGGCAGGGAGGACTCGGAGTCTCTGCGGTCACAAGGCCATCAGAACAGATGCTGTGGGTGTTAGAGGTGGTGTCCCAGGGGTCTCTCAGCTGCATCAGTTCAGGGGCAGTATTTATAGCTTTTTTCCTCTCTTTTTTCCCACAAACTTGTTGGTATTAGAACCCTGAAACGTGTTAGTTTTTGTTCTCTCTGCGTGGAAGGACTCACACATTGGGGACAGGAGGAAGGTGATGGTAACTCACTGCTGGAGTGTTAACAATGCCTGACTGTACTCAGTCTGGCTGGGATGGGGTTAATGTTCTGCAGAGCAGCTGGGATGGTGCTGTGTGTGGGATTTGTGACCAAGACAGCCTTGATGACCCACCAGTGATTTTGCTGTTGCTGAGCAGTGCTTGTACAGCACCAAGGCCTTCTATGTTTTTTTCTTCCTCCTTGATCTGCCCTCTCCCAACCCTCCATTCCCCACCCCTGGGAAGAGGCTGGAGGTGGGTGAGGAGTTGAGGGGAGACATCTGAGACAGCTGGCCTGAACTGACCAAATTGGTATTCCATGCCCTATAACAACCACGTTTTGTTATAAATGGTGGGGGAGTTTCTCTGAAGCAACTCTTGCTCAGAGCCTGGCTGGGCATTGATGTGCTGGCAGAAGGTGGTGAGTGATTGCCTTTGCATCACTCTTATGTTACTGGCTATTTTCCTTCAGTTATTAAACTGTCTATATCTTGACACTTAAGTTTTTATTGGTTTTCCCCCTCTTTGGATTCTCTTCCCCCATCCAGCTGCAGGGGAGTGAGAGAGTGACTGGGTGGGGGCTGAGCTGCTGACAGGGTGAGCTCAGACCAGGCTGTCTGGTCTTGTGCCTTTGCTGTCAGAAACTACTCCTCCTCTCCTTTATTCTTACCTTCTCTCCTCTTTTTCTCTCTAGGAATATGTTTATCCAGATGCCAGAGACAGACAGTACTTACTATTTTTCCATAAAGGAGCCAAAAAGACACGATTTGATCTAGAGAAATACAATCAACTCAAGGATGCAATTGCTCAGGTAATGAGAACTTTTCCAGAAAAAAGACCAAGAAATTACTGCTTGCTAGCTCTTAGTTACTATTAATAGACACACCTCAAACAAGAATGAATGTATTTTAGGTTTTCTGCCCATTTTCCTGTCACAGCCCCAGCACAACCACTGAGTTGGCTTTGATATTCCCAGGAATAGAACTGCTGGATGCCTAAATCAACGTGAAACACTTGTCTATATCCATCTGTAAGGGCCCTTTAGAAACTGCTGGCAAATCTTGAGTTGCTTCAGACACTTTTCATGCCTCAGAGGAGCCTAATTCAAGATTTCTTTCCTTCTCAGCTCCTACACACCAGATGGATTTAGTGAGGAATGAAAACTTGCATCCATTCAGTTCGTGTCTTCCTGACATAGCACTTCAGTGCACTGGGTTGCAGTGCTGGAAAATCATGTTCAGAAAATGTAGCTGTATTGTCAGAGGCAATGTTGGGGCAGATTTTTCGGATTCTGGAGACAGACACTTTCTGGCAGGCCGTCCACATGGTGGGATCTGCTCAGCAAAGAGACCTTTCCTCGTGTTTCTCTGAGCCTTTTCTGCGGAAGGGTGGCACGGGCAGAGAAAGCAGAGCTGCCACGTTCTTTTTCACTGCTCTGTATCATCCCTTTACTCCCAGGCTCTGGAAATGCCAGTGTAGGATATGCAGGGCAAGATGAGTTCTCCCCCTGCCTTGGAGAGAAGGACAGCTGAGAAATGGCTTTCCCAGATAAGAGCTCATGATTTTGTTTTACTCTTTAAACACTTTCCCTCTGGACAGGAAAAAAACACAAGAAATAAGGAAAAGCTTTCAATTCTCTGAAGGGAAATGGTAATGAGAGGGGAAGGGGTGTTGGGGGCTTTTGCTTCATAATGTGTCTTCTACTTTTAGGCAGAATTGGATCTTAAGAGGCTTCGAGACCCACTGCAGGTTCATCTGCCCATCCAGCAAATTTCTGAAAAGGACTGATCAGCAGAGAAGCTCTGAACCCCGGCCAAAAACCTGTTCATAGCTCTTGCCTTTTTTAATTAAAGCATTGCAGGTGGAAGCTGGGAGGTGGTGTGGGGGGTGGAGGGTTTTTACCTTTAATCAAGACAAAGGACTGTAAAGGAGGGGGGGAATCTCTTAAATCTGAAGATGGGACGTTGTGGAATGTTAATTCTGAAAAGGGCTTGGTAAATAGTCACATTTTACAAACTGTCTGAATGGCGATTGTGTACAAATACAGGATTGGGGGGTTCATGAAAAGAATGTAATGCTGGGGTGGAGGGGTGTCTTCTTCCAGCTTTGCAGGGTCTGCCTCTTGATAAGACACCAGCAGCCTGCTTAGCTTTTTAAATTTTCCTTTACCTGATTCCAATCTCTCTCTCTCTCTCTCAAAACAAAAAAACAACCAAAAACAACAAAAGGAGACAAAAAAAAAAAAAAAAAGAACAAAGAATCCAAGCCACCTGGAGCCTCTGGCTGGTGATCAGGCCTTGCACTCCACCGCCATTAACACGCACACTTCTGGTCACACCTGGTCTCTTTTATAAAAAAGTTACTACAAGACTGCTTTCTACTGGAAAAACCGTGAGCTTCCCCTTCCCAGCCCACCCGCCCTGTGCTCCACTGACTTCCTCCTTTGCTTATTTGTAGCACAGATTGGTTGTAGCCAAGTGAGAGAAGGAATGAGTTTTCTTCTGGACATTTGATAATTGATATTTTGGATTATTCCGTAATAACTGTATAAACTTCGCGTCCCAGTGCCCTTGAGCTCCTTCTAGAAATCCATGGCAGCATTGCATGAGAGGTTTTTTTATATTCAGTCTTAAGGGAGGGGGAGATTCCCTTCTTCCTACCCCAAATCTGATAGCCACCTGGACTGTGAAATTATGAAGGCTTTAAAGGATTACAAAACTGTGGCAGAATCATGACTCCTGCTTTTAAATGAACAGTTTTGGAACATGAAATAATGAAACTGTGGATATTTGACTGCTTGTGCAATGGGATAAAAGGTTTCATGTATAGTCAAAGCAGTTTCCTTGCCCAGAGGCTTTTTGAGAGCCTGGGGCTTCCTACAGTGCAAGACACAGAACTTTGATTTTTTTCTTCTAGCACTTTCCCCTGATTGAGTAGCTTTAAATGAACTTTATGTCCACAGGTCAGAATTTCTTAGGAGTGGCTAATGACATCTCTTGTCCTTAGCTAAAAAGAAATAGAGGAAGGAAGGTCAATCCATTGCCCTCTCTCCTAGCCAAGGCTGGCTGGTTTCTAAGCAGATAAAACATCTCTTCGTTCAAAGCAGGTCAAGTCTGGTTTAGCATCCTGCTGATAAATGCTCTGGAGACAGGATGAAGGTGGGAGAAGGACACTATGCTTTATATACAGAAAGGCTGGCTGCTTTTTTTGATGTTTCACTACTACTCCTCACTGTGTCATGGAAAGAGGCTTCTTGTTTTGATTTTTTTTTTTTTTTGAGAACCATGTTTTAAAAACAAAAAAAAAAGGAAAAATAGGAAAGAAAGTAATTCAGTATTAATTAGACTCCAGGTGCCTTGCAGATGTGGAAACACAGCTGGGATTGCTGCCTCTTCTCACTCAATGGCATGTTGGACCGAATGGGTGCATGTTTCTAGTTTTGTTTTTCTTTTCCCTTCCCCTTTCCCTCTGTCTTTCCATTTAATTACATCGTGTGATTATTTTTTTTATCTGTTTTATCCTGTTTGTGTGATGAGTTTTAAAGGGGGAAAAAAATGAACACAATCCTGTAGCTGAATCCTTGATGTGTGTTTGGGACGAGGGAGGGAGCATGGAGAAAAGTCCTTCTTTAAAAAAACAAAAAAAAAACCCACAAAAAAAAATGAACATGTGTAAAATCCTGTATCATTTATGAAATATGTATAAAAGAGCAATGTACTTCTGGAACAATAAATAACTATTCAATTTTTGAACGGGTGCTCCTGAATAACGTTATTTCCCCCAGCTGGGAAGAGAACGTTGCCTTGTGTGGCAGCTCCCTGCTGAGTTCCCTCCATTTCTTTTTGTTTAGGTGGTTTCTTGCCGACCTTACCTCTCTGAGGCCGTGGGGATGCAGATCAGAGCTTTGCTGAAGAAGCTGGGATGGAAATCCTGCTGCCAGGCCTGGCTGCCTAACACAGGGATCTTGGGAGCACTTGAGGTGCTGAGGTAGAGACGCTTGGTCTAACAAAGATGTGCCTTTGTTTGGCCAGCAGAGTAGCAGGATAAGAATATACACCCCAGCTACCTAAAAAGTGTCAGCCAAGGGGTGTCAGAGTGTTTCTGTTTCATTCAAGTGCCGTTTCAGAGGAAAGCTGAAGTTTTGAGCTTCTGTTCCTTCCTTTCTGGGCCCTTGAATGGTCTGATCTGTCGTGGTAGCATCTGATTCGTTCATTAACTTTGGGAATCAGCAGACTGTACTTTGTCCTAACTTTGTGGTGTTGGGATGGGGTGTTTGGTGCAGGTTTCTATCGTGTCCATCAACTGTTAAAAAAAAAATACCCATGCTTGGCCAGTTTTTGAAAGAGCCACCTCTTGTGTTTTTTAAAGCTGGAGGGGAAGGACTGGAAGCTGTTAGGTGTCACCTCCCTCTAATCACAGCTGGCAGACCTTCTTCCTCCAAGCAGCCCTTAGTCCACTGCTGTGTCCAGAGGAACTGGTGCCATCCTTATATAGATTGCTTGGCTCAGTTGCATAAGAAGGTCACCCATTTTGGCATCCAGAAGAACAGGAGACTCATGGCATCTGGCACCACGATCTCTGGTTTGAGAGCAAGAAGATGCTGTGACAAAAATGTTCCTCCACGTGTTTTAATGTTGTTATAGAGACAATGTGGGAGAAGAAAGCAAAGCAAGAGTCTACAGCTGGCCCCTGAAATCCGGGCTGTCCAGCAGGTCTTGTTAGTCCATATTCCTGAAGGTTTTGCTGTCCCAGTGCACTGTGATCTCTGCCAGGTGTGGATGACATGCCACAAGCCTCACACTCCCATCTCAGCGCCTTGGAATGCTGACACTGAAGGGAAGGGCAATGTTTATTTGCTCTCCTGATCCTCACTGTTAAATCCCAAGGTGAACACTCTCTCTTGCAGCAGCTATTTCCCATCTTGGAGCCAGGCAGGCAACAGGGCCCTGCACACTGCTGCCTGAATCCTCGTGTCCCACTGCATTCTTCTGTGAGGGAGAAGCAGCAGTGTGCACTGCAGTGTCCAGGTGCTGCTGCTTCCACCACTTTTGCTGCTCTTTTGATGAACCTCTTTTGTGAGGGGATTTTCAAATACATGGCCAGTTGAAAGTCGTGTTAGGTTTCCTTTGCTGTGCCTGTGAGGCTCTACATTTCAAGCCCCTCCAGGGAAAGGTGTTCATGGCTCCTTTTTCCTCAAGAGGAAAGAAGAAACCCTTTTTCTTTTGCCCTCTCTGCCTCCCTGCCTGGCAGGTGGCCACAATGATCCACCTTGCTGCACTTCCATGTTGGCTCTAGGAGGGTTTGCATGATGCTCTGGAGCTGCTCTTGGCTGTCAGACCTTGGCACTCTGCCAGTTGAGTGGAACTGGCCAAGTTGCCCTGTCTTTGAGCCAGTGGACCAATTTCTTTGATATCTTCTGTTTTTTGGGGTTTTTTTTGTGAGTGGAGCTGTAAATGCAAGCTGCTTTCCTCTCTGCCACATTGTATGGCTTTATTTTCACACGAGGAGATTTTTGTACCTTAACTATTCTACCTATCCCAAGAGATTCTAATTATTTCCTTTAAAAAAAAAAATCAGGTTTACTTGTATTATGGCATAAAAGGGGTGAAAAGTAAAAAATGGAAATGAGACTTGGAGTATACCTAAGCTCTGAAGTATGGGAGAAGCTGGTCTTGGGCTGTGGCTCTGTGAGCTTGTAAAAGATGAGTCTCCTGTTTCTGCCTCTGACTATTTTGCAGTTGCTGGTGTGCTGTCTATGCCCTAATTCCTACATCTGAAAATGGAGGATCGTGGAAAATACACCGGGTTCTGCAGGAGCTGTGGATAAACACTCTCAAAAAACACCAAGCTCTGCATCACAGGGCTGCACTAAGGGAGAGGAAGTAACTGCTGCTCTTCACTAGGGGTGATGCACTTGCCTGATTTTAAGGGGCCCTGGATGTTTTACTTGTGTTGAGTTCACTCGTTCTTCCTTAAGCTTGTGTTCCCTACCTGATCTCCCCAGCCCTTCCCATTGGCTCCGTGTCCTGGGACAAGTTGTTTACGGCACCAAGGCCTATCTCAGAGCCCTTGACTCTGGTGCAATCCATCTCAGCAGCCTGTCAGGGCTTATTGTGACCCTGCATCCTCAAACCGATGCCAGACGGGGCTCCTGCCACGCGTGCCGGGTTCTGCTCCCCCTCGGCGGCGGGAAGTGCTGATTAGCTCTTCCTCCTGCTCCTCCTGGGCAGGTCCCTGCGCCCAGAGCTGCGCTCCAACACCTCCCCTTCACCAGGCACCAGAGTGTCTACTCTCTAGTGGTGTTTGTGACAAAGGCTCTTTGGTCATCAGTGCATTACGAACAGCACAGGGCTTTCCAGCCCAGCCTGGTGCTTTGAGGAACCCAAGTCCCTCGTGTGAGGATGGTGAAGCCCTCCAGATGTCTGGGAGGGGCAAGCAGGGTGCTTGTCACCTGCAAAATGAGCAGCCTTTCCATGGTAAGAGCAGACATAGCCAAACTTTGCAGCAGGTTTAGAGCTTTTGCAGCCCGAAACAAAATTGCAGCCCTCTATTTTAATACTACCTTCCCCCTTCATATCTTTCAAACAGTACTGATGGCTACTTTTAAGAAGTACTACCTCGGTCCTGATTCTTTTTGGGAAGTTGGATTCATTCAACTTTGGGGTGTGGGAGCAGAGGTCAGGAACAATGGATTTGCCTGGAGAGTGCAGGCCCTGGAGTACCCCGCTGGAATTGTGTCCTCTCTCCCACAGCATCTCCTCGCAGGAAGGATTTTGTTTGGGGGTTTTTTTCCCTCTCTGCTCTCAGAAATGACTGCTGATCCGTGTGATCTAATACAGGCTACTGTTGTTTGTGGAGCAATGTTTGTCACCCAAATTAATTTGCAAAGCAAAAAGGAAGCGCTGATAGAGGAGTTGCCTGTGGTGCTTCTTCCCAAAGGTGTTTAGAGGCAGCACACAAATCTTCTCCAGCTTGAGACCCTTTGCTTGAAGTAGATGTCGTGGTGATTGGGGATAGTGCCATCTCTGGGAATGCTTGGGCATCTCCCGCTTTAATCCGTTTTGGAGACCCCTTTGAGGCTCAAAACTGCAACACTGCAGTTGGTTTCCCTGTGTTGATTGTCAGCTGTCAGTCACTTGCATGTACCTGCCAAAACACAATTGTGACAGGCTCGTGTAGCACCTCCAAAACAAAAGCAGCTGGGAAATGAGATGGTTCAGAGTAACTGTACACACATGTGACACCAACAGAACGTTCCACCCAGGCTTGTCAGACTTATTTACCCAGGATCATAAGTAGGAATCAGCCTCTCAATGAAAATGGCAAAATATAAATCCCTGTGGCTTGTTATATTACTCTCCATTCAATTTTAGTTTCTCTTCTGGGAATTCACAAAAGCACTGTTTGAGGGTTATCTGCCTGCTAGCTTTGTGTAGTGAATCTGCCCTCCTTTCCTGTTGTTGGAAAACCTTTTCTGGTGCTGCACAGCTGTCAGCACAATAGAGCCACAAGGACTTTGTTATTTATTTTATTTTTTTAGTGGGAGCAATGTCAGTAATTTATTTGGTTTTTTTTTTTTGTCATTCCCCAGAGTCATTCACCACTGAAAAAAGACTCCTGTGCTGGGTGGAGCAGAGGAGCAAATTGCACTTTGCTGCCAGGGACACGTCCAGACAGGGAGAGGCCACTGGTAACTTTCTGTAGTGTGCAATCCCTACAAAGCAAACACCCACCTCCCTCCTTGCCTTGTGCAAACTCAGTGTGAAAATAATGGAGCTGCTTTTTCCCTGCTGGGATTTCAAGCAGGCTATTCAGCCTTGATGTCAGTCCTTACTCCAGCCTGCTGCAGAAATGCAGGATGCAGAGGGAACTGGGAAATGCATCCACTTGCCTGATTGAGTGATTACTGTAGGCTTACCTGCACTTACTGCTGATGGAGATCTCTTATAGCAAGAGCTGATGGGATGAGAGGGAAAATCCCTTTCCACTTATTCATGTTGTCCTTGGTATCCCACTGCCAGCATGGCGTTGGGTTTGCTTTAGCAGGGAACAGATTTCAGGGTGCTGCATCCAGAGCTTGTGGTTATCAGCTGCAGCTCAGCCTAGTTTGGTTTGAACCAGTAAGGAGAGGCTCTCAGTTACTTGGGTTTGCATGGAACTTAATTCCTTAATGTCGGATTTTTTTTTGACTGTTGGTTTGGTTTTGTTTTTTAAAGATGGGAGATTGTAAGAGTGCTGCGGAAAAGGGTCTTTACTTGCCTTGTTTGATAACCTTGCTGCAATCAGGCTGTGTGACCAGGAGTGAAAAGAGAGCCTAGGAACAGCTTGTTTCCCTGTGGGACACCAGTCTTTCACTTTGACTGATGTTCCCATTGTAGCTCTGCTCCAGGGACTCCTCTGCAATCTCTGCTCGGAAGGATCAGTCCCCTCCTTTGGCCACTATTTCCTGCAGTTCAGGCTCTCTGGCCAGTGTTTTCTGCCTGTGGGAGCCACGGAGTCGTAGGACTTGTGGAAGTAGCAGAGATAACGAGCACCCATCCGTTCTTCTCTTCCATCCCCTCCGGGATGTCCGGGTGTCCCTGGTTAGAACTCCTCTCCGGATGAGATAGTGGAGGTGTCACTGTGGGGCAGTCAGGGCAGAAAACAATAGCAGGTTGAGTCCAAAAAACAACACTGACCAGTGAATACATCTCTGCTGTCAATCAGTGGCAGGGCTGCTCTGGGGAGGTCAAGGCTGGAGCTGTACCCCACATCCCTTCGGCTTCTTCCTCTGATAAACTTCCAGCAGAGCGACCACACTTGCTCTTCTGGAAGGTTGGAGTCAGGAGTTCCACTGAGGGGAAGGCTGCAAGAGCCACAGCGTGTGTGAGGGCTTTGAAGACTCTGTTCCTTGAGCAGTGACTGCTCCTTGGCTGAGTGGGATGTTCCAGTACTTGTTTTTGTGCATCTGCTTTGTCATCCAGCACCAGGCAGTGTCTTCCATGGGTGAGTAAAGAGGCATTGCCTTATTTCTGTTTGCCATCTGTAAAGGTTCATGCTGAGCTGGTGGTACTCTTAAGTGAAAGACTGGAAGAATGGGAGAAATATTCTTTTCCTTTGAAGACGATGTAAAATCCTTTCTAGTTGGAAAGATCTTTCTGTCACGGAGCGTGAAGTCTCCTGTACTGGGAGAACCTCTCCTGCCAAGGCACTGTGGGATTTTCCTCTCCCTTTTGAGGACAGACTCTATGAATAGCCATTATGTTACCTTTTCACCTGCTTCTTTGACAAATCTGAATTGAATTTAGTGTCATAATGCAGTGCTGCTCACTGTGTGCTGGAGCAGAGAACCTCCAGTTACACAATCCACACGGGATTAATCTCTGCAGGATGGTGGGCTCACAAATGCCTGCTGGAGCCTGCTTTGTCACCCAGTATGTATGATCCCACGTCAGCCAGAGAACTAATGATATCATCAAGATTACAAATGGAAAAGCTTTGCTTCGTAGTTAATGCTTGTCAGGCTGAACTGCTTGGGCCACGCAAGGAGCGTTGGGGAGGAAAAAGAATTGAGCCAAGAAAGATGATAAACAGGGGGAGCTGGAGACAGTGATACATCTTGTGCAAACCCCCAAGCTTTCGTTGGTTGGGCAGAGGAGATGAGAGGCTGATCAGTTTCTTTTTCCCCTGAAAACTCAAATCAGTTTTCAGCAAACTCTGCTGCCAAGGGCTGCTGGGTGTCTGCAGGGAGGTTGGCGTGGGGCAGCGCTGGCACTCCGAGGGTGGCCGTGAGGATCTGCCGTGTTCCAAAGAGCACTGTCTGCTTATTCTGCTTGTTTGCCTCCCCCTCGCTGCTGCCAGGAGCTCTCAGAGGAATGAAGGATGTGAGGGAATGCTACCTCAATTCCCCCCACGTGCCTTCTTTCCAGCTCCCTTTGAGCTGCTGCGCGTTCATCTCAGTAAATTTTAGCTTTAAATTGTCTTCTGAATGTTTAGGAGTCAACATGATCTCCCTAGATGAGTGCTTCCAGAGGCTGTCTACAAAGGAGATTTCAGAAAGTTAATTGCATGAAAGCTAATGAGGGTGTGTGTATTTTTAGTGCTGCCCAGTTGGGAAGCTGACAGGGCATTCCTGCTTCACCTCATTTGGCTTTTAACAGCATGAAAACCTTTTCATCTTAGTCAGTGACTCACCCTAAGGCCACACCAAATCCTCTGGTGGAAAACCAAGGGAGTTACGCTGAGGGAAGCCCAGGGGAAGCTCTGTGCAGGATGCATCTTTTCCCTTTGGGAAAAGTCAAGCGAGCTCTTGGAGGATGGGATTTCCAGCACTGCTGCTGTCTGTGGGTAAGGGAAATGGAGAGCTCCTGAGGGATTGCCTGGTGAACCTCCTCAGAGTTTCCCTGCTGCCTTCCCCTCCCTGCTGGGCTGGTTGTGGTGGCAGTGAGTCAGCTCCTCTGCCTGTCTTTGAATTGTGGCACTAGAGATTCCCTTCCTAACCCAGATCCCTGCTCTGCTCTGCAGCACTCCTGACTGGGGCAGCTGCTCCTGCCTTTTGTGCTGGATTTGAGGCCAAACAAGATGTGTCTGTGGCTGAGGAAGGTGCAAGGGAACATCAAGAGAGATGTTGTGTTTATGAGATACTTGTACAACATTCCATGTCTGTGGGACAGATATTTACAGAGGACTCAGCTAAATAAGGGTGACCTGAAGTCTGTTCTCTGAAACACTTTAAAGTTGCCACTTTAAAATCAGTGGAGCAAATCAAAATAATGAACCAGGAAGGTTTGTGTCCAGAGCATTCTAATAGAAATAGCATAATGTTACTTTCCCTCCCCCCCCCAATTGCATCACCCTATTGTTAAAACAAAACAACACAATTTTAGAACTTAAAAGGAAATGTGCTGTGGGAAGTAGAGGCTATTCCAGTCTGAGATGCATTTAATCAGAATGATTGGTTGTATTAGCCTAATTTTAGGAAATAGTAATCAATTTTCCTTACTCAGGACAGGATTAGCATTCATTTTGCTTGATAGTGAATAGCCTGTCTTGGGTAAGTAGTGTTTAATCAGGTATTAAATGTGAGGGAAGATGGAACCTCTGGACTTTCAATGAGGAAGCTGCCAAATCAGGGTTAATTAGGAGAAGACTGAAAACGTAACGAACACTTGAAATCTTTATTTCTGTTCTCCTTGTGGAATTCTTATGTTTTAAGTGTTTGCAGAAGGTTCAGAAAGGCCTCTGAAAAGGGACACACTCCTTGAGGACTGCATGATCACACAGGGTTTGTGACCTTGAGAGCAACAACAACTGTGTCAAAAGTTGAACATTTTGCTCTCCAGAAGGTCCTAATTCAGACCTTCATGCCCTCTAGATTTTAAGATAAGAAGTAAAAAGGTGTGAAAACTCAACTGTGAGGGCTGACACCAGCCGTGGTGGGTTTTAAAAGAGACTGCCTAACCTGTTTGAAGTATATTCCTTTGCTCCAGGGCATCTGGGAGAGTTACCAGTGACTTCAGGAGGGGCTTGCAGGTGCTCAGTTAGGACTTGAACAAAGGCTGGATGTCTTACACTAGATCCTAGACTTAGAAATGCATCCAGGATGTATTTCCCATAGCAAAATTGCTACCTGGCCCCCAGATTTGCTTATATCTTTTTTTTTTTTCCCCCCTGTCAGCAAAGCAGCAAGTCAGGCTGTTGCATAACGTTGTAAGAGTTCTGGTAAGGTCTTGGAAGAACAAGTAAATATAAGCTGAGCTGTCAGAATTTTCCACAAGACACTCAGCTCGCTGGTATCGCCGGGTCTCCCTGGGGGATCTCCATCGCAGTGATTCTGTTAAGTCGGGGCAGAAAAAGGAATCATTTTGCGTTCTTTACAACCGTCAGCCGGTTTGATACCTACCAGCTGTTCTCTCTCGCTGCCTTGTCCCAGCCCTGGACCCCTGCTCTGCCTACATCAGCCTCAACGAGCCCTGGAGGAACACGGACCACCACGTCAACGGCTCGCACGGGCAGCCCACGTGCGACAGCCAGATCGACGGCGAGTGGTACCGCTTCACGGGCATGGCGGGCGACGCCATGCCCACCTTCTGCATCCCGGAGAACCACTGCGGCACCCACGCGCCCATCTGGATGAACGGCAGCCACCCGCGGGAGCGCGACGGCGTCGTGGCGCGCCAGGCCTGTGCCAGCTTCAATGGCAACTGCTGCCTCTGGAACGCCACCATCGACGTCAAGGCCTGCCCGGGCGGCTACTACGTGTACCGCCTCGCCAAGCCCAGCGTCTGCTTCCACGCCTACTGCGGCCGTAAGTGGCTCCCTTTTCCAAACCCGCCGCGTTCCCCGGTGCCTGGCTTCGGGCGGGCTTTGTCACCGGTCATGCGCGGGCGGTGGCCTGTCCATGTGGGATTGATGAGGCAGATCCGCCCACGGGGATTTGGTGCTCCCTGTGGGTGCCGTGGTTTGTCTCGGCTTGCTGCCGAAAGTCAAAATTTGCGTCTCTGACCTGCAGTGATTAAAGCAGATTGTTTCTCAGCAGCTCCAGCAGCTCGTCTTTCCCGCCGTGGGCCAGGTCTGGAACTGACGGGAAAAACGCGGTTATTTTTGTTGCGTGCTCAGCACTTTGTGCTGACGGTGTTCTTGTCGTGCCCTAGATTTTTATGACATCTGCGATGTGGTGGATTGCCAGGGCCCCTGCCTGGACACCAGTGACTGCACCTGTTCCCCGGGGACGACGCTGGGACCTGATGGACAGACGTGCCTTGGTAAGGGCGGGAATGACCTGTGCCAGCTACTGATGCTTTCTTTCCCTTTGTTTCATCTCTCACTTCAAGACCCATTGCCTTACAAAGCAGTGCAAAAACGTGAAGTGTTCTGAGAGGAGTTTTCTCCCTTGCTGCCTGGAATAGGTCTGTGATTCTGTCAGTGGTTCCAAGAGACATCCCACGACTGAATCCGTTCTGGTGGCCCTGGAGCTCTGTGTACATGGAGACTAGATTTGCTTTCTGAAGGCAGCAGCTGCACTGCCAGTAGAAGAGTCTCTTTGCAAGATCATAGTACAGTCTCCCTGTGGTATTCAGAAAATGCTGTGCAGCCTGTCATTAGATGCTCTGTTGAATACCTCTTCCCTCCTCCAAAAAAAAAAAAAAACATTTTCCTGGGCTGCACACTAAACCCCACCATAATTCCTGCCCTTTTAGGACATTTTGCAAGGCCTGGGGCTTGAGGAGAGCCCAAGGACTGTAAGTCCCAGCACAGCTGCAGTGGTTTCAGGCAGCATGACAAGGGGGTGTTCAGGGGGTTGGCACTTGGTGACAGAGACTGGCACAGCCAGCAGGGAGGTGGAGGGCTGTAAGCGAGAGCCAAGTAGGGAATGTGGGCTTTGGGTGTTTGGGAAGGAATCCCCATGGACATCTGAGGAGAGCACGGCTGTGGTCGTGTGTGTGGTGCTGGGAGGAGAGCAGCTGGACTGGGAGGTCAGGGAGAAGATGGTCTGTGGGGGAAAGCAAGGGGCTGGGAAGGGGTGGCCACTGGGGAGCTGCAGAGCCACGCTGGTGGATAAGAAGAGGTAAGGTGGAGGGAGGAGGAAAGGGATGCCAGTGCGTGGGGGAGGTGGGATCTCATCTTTGTGGCCTGATTTGGTGGTGAAGCTGAAAGCAGAGTTGATCCAGGAGGCTGTGTGGCAGATCAGCTTTTCCATCCTGACTACAACTGACAAAGCAGGTGTGGGTGGTTTCTTCACACTCCTCGTGTCTGTGGGCATCAGGGTAGGGGCCGCAGTCATCCCAAGTCTGTGCAGAGAGCAGCCTGGCCCTGCTGCAGAGCTACTCTTGCTCACACTGATTCTGTGGAAGGGTTTTGCTCAAGCATCTCCACATCTCTGCAGCCAAGTGGCTGACTTAGCTCTCTCAGGTAATTAAAAGCATTTATCGGCTGCTTCTGTTCAAGACTTCCAGTCACAGGAGTGCCCTTGACAAGCCCCAGCACTCAATAAATGTATGGCAGGCTCAGAGGAAAGGATTTCCTGCAGCAGAGAGGGAGGCTCGCAGGAGCCTGAGCCTGTCTGTGTGTGCTGCAGCTGCCTTCACCCCCCCATGTCCAGGCTGGGCAGGATTTCTGCACTGCTGCTTCTGCCCGTGATTCCCAGATGGCACAACACCTCAGCTGGAATGATCACACTGGTTCACCAGCCTGCAGCCTCTCTTGTGTGGCTCACTCGTCTCTCTAATGACTTTCCGTTGTGCTGAGTAATTGTGCAATCACATCTCTCAGAGCAGCTCTGCCAGCCTTCCAGAGAAACTAAATAAATCCCTGTTAGGCTTTCCTAAATGGAGAATATGCTTCTTTTCCTAGCTCTCCCTTAAAAGGGGGACTGAAGATGCTGCAGTAATGCAGCAGAGAGGCTGTGGCTGCCCCATCCCTGGAAGTGTCCAAGGCCAGGTTGGATGGGGCTTGGAGCAACCTGGTCTAGTGGGAGGTGTCCCTGCCCATGGCAGGGGGGTGGAATGAGATGGGTTTTAAGGACCCTTCCACCCCAGACTGTTCCATGAATGTTAAACAGCTCTGTGAACCTCCCTGTGCTCCTCAGTACATGACATGCTTTGAATCCCAGTGTAGAACTGCTGATCCTCAGCTTCATTTTCATTTGCAAGCTTAGGGGTTAGGTAAGGTCTTGGACTTCCTATCACACATCCACCAACTCGGCGCCTTTGACCTCATGAATACTTGGATCCATGTTCTACTAAGCCGTGGATAAAATCAGCTCAGTGCTCTCCCAGTCCAGTCTTGAGACAACCAGAAGTGTCCCAGAAGTGCAGGTTGTCACTGGTGTGGAAGAGCAGGGACAGATCTGTGTGTTGTAGAACTTGAGGGACGAGCAAGGGGGATTGCTGAGTACAGCCCTTGACCAAGACAAGCTCTAGGCCCTTCTAACAGCGTCTCCGTGCCTTTGCCAGTAGCCCCTTCCCTCTTCACCTTCTGTTTTTAAGCAGCTTTATTTTTATTTTTAGAAGGGAAAGTGTGGAGCCTGTCACATATGTGAAAAGCAGAGTGTCTGTGTGTGTCTCCTGGACATGCTTCCTGCCTCCCAAAGCAGGGGAGCAGCCAATTCTTTGGCTAAAAATATTCAATTCACGTCGCTTGTGGAAGGAGACACCACCACCAGCTGCAAGCTGTGGGCACTGTGAGTGTGTGGGACCACTGATACCTAAGAAAGCTCCTCTCTGACCTGTCTCTTAAAAAAAGTATCTTGCTTTTTTTCTCAATTTAAGCTTCTGACATCTAGTAAATGCCAGCTTCTAAGCTGTTTTGATAAAACCCCATGTGAACCTTGATTGATAACCTCAGCATCCCGGCCTGCCTAAGAGAAATTGTTAATTTTGTGGCTCAACAACAGCAATGTCTGTCCCTTCCTCTGATTCACGTTTTGCACACAGAGATGAAATCAGGTTGAAGAATGAGAATCTCAGATAAAAAGTACCTTTAAAAAAAAATAAATAAATAAAGCAGACAGACACAGAGAAACTTTAGCCTTTAAAGCAGGATTAGGAGGAGTTTTCAGAGCTCTACCAAGAGATTCAAAAGCTACTGTCAGTGGGATTACTCATTACATTCCAGAGCTCAAGAAATGTTTGGGCAACGCTCTCAGGGCACATGGTGGGATAGTTGGGGTTGTCCTGTGCAGGGCCTGGAGTTGGAGTCGATGATCCTTGTGGGTCCCTTCCAGTTCCAGATCATGTCCTGTGATGTGATCTCTGCTGTCCTGATCCAGTTCAGGAGGCCGGGAAAGACAGTCTGACCAGTGCTCCCACCTGCCAGCTCTGCATTTACTGAGGGCACGTTCTGACAGTGGTTTGGGTGGTTTTGTTTTTTGTTTTTTTCAGATGAAAACGAGTGTGAGCAGAACAACGGGGGCTGCAGTGAGTTCTGTGTGAACCTGAAGAACTCCTACCGCTGCGAGTGCGGGGTCGGGCGCACGCTGGGCAGCGACGGCAAGACCTGTGAAGGTGAGGCTTCAGCTGCCTCAGGGGCAATATAAATCACTCCCCCTCCCTTGCAGCACTGCTTTCTCTCCTGGCTCCTTGCAGCTGGGATTAAATGTCACTCATATCACCTCTGTGCTTGCCAGTGGGGTTGTTCCTAAAATATCCTTCTAAGCGAGCAGAGAGAGAAGCCTCCTTGTTGTTCTCCCTGCCTCATTCTCTTCTGTTAGGATTTCCTTGTATTTATGTCCATGGGGGAAAGGCAGTGGTGGATCTGGAAGACTGGTTGTCCACACAGAACTAGTTATTGCTGGAGTAGGTGGGAATCAGCTCTGGAGATTTGTGGGGGGGCACATTTGGCATTGCTGGGTTTTGGCAGCTGACATGAGGCGTGGGGTAATGTCATGACGTTAGACTAGAGCACGAGGATCACTTTCAGTCTCCTGGGGCAGAGGTTGAGGAGAGAGGGTGCCAGTGTGTGAACAGAAGCTAGATTGGAGATTTGGGCTGCATTTTGGCTGTTTGGTGTCTGTGAGTGGCTAACTGTGGGCTCAGCTGCTACAGCTCCTTCCCAAGGCTGGCACAGCCAGGTTGAAAACCCTTGGTGAGTTTAGACCTGTGGCTTAGAGACCATGTGGTAGGTTTGATCTGTTGTCACCAACAGCATACAAACATCTTTGGGGCAGAAATAGGCAAACCAAGTAAAAATAGACTTGTGCCTGATGTTTTCTGTGGTGAGTTTTTATTCCAGGGCTGCTGGAATAGTCTGTCCGGAAACTTGTTTGTTTGTGCTCTTCACGATGTTGACTTTTAGGGCCTTTGATATATCATTTAATTTCCCCTTCTGTAAGAAGGATGGTGCTTTTCATGAGTTCAACACTGCTGCTGGGGATTTTTACAGTCTTGTTAGTGAGTTTTATTTCAGAAGATGTGCCCTCAGCTTTGTGAGTCCTTACAGGGCGTGATTTACTTGTGAGCCACCTCACAGCTGTTGCTAAAAAGAAAAAATGCAAGAGATTTACTTTGATTACATGAGCTGGTGAGGCTGAGTAGGGTTAAAAGTATCTCAGAACTTCCATTGTGATGCTTTACCCATTACTTTGACTGATATGGAGTGTTCAGGCTCTTGTTTTCCATGCATTATATAGGATCCAGTATGGGATTTCCATTATTTTCTTTACATTTCAGTGAAAACCACACAGTCATTTCTGATGGCAGTCTTGGGGAGAAATATTTTGTATTTATGATTTGTTTATCTCATATGTACTGTTGTTTCACTGAGAACAGTAGTACTCATCTAGCACACTCATCCCCAAGGGTTAAAAAAAATCAAGCAGTGAAGATTATTTCCCAAAAAATCATGACCCTGTTATTTTCTTTATAAGAGGAAGCCAACAAGAGCTGGAAATGGCCTTACTTTCCTTAGGCCTTTCAAATCTTCAGAATGTATCTGGATGACCTTTCAGGCTCTTTTCTGTAGCTGCAGCAGCCAGGAATATGTTTTACACAAAAACTCAGGTCTTCAGAGAGTTGCCTCACCTGAATGGGTGAGATGTAAGACATGACAAATCCTCCAATTAGCCGTGCTGCCCTTTCTCCTCTGCTCTTCATAACGGGGAAAATTAGGAAGGGAATCAACTTTACACCGTGAAGTTGTGTTATTCTGTCCCTGAGCCACCCTCAAAGCCTTAGAACACACAAACCAGCAAAATTCCTAAAGGAACTCCTACGAGCAAAGCTTCATCCTCACCCCTACAGAGGGGTTGAAAGAATCTGGTGCACCCCCGTCCCTCCCAGCTGGGAAACCCACAGGGAATGAGCACATCAGCTTTCCTCTGGTGTTCCCTGCTGGAAGCAGGAGCTGGCTCCCTGCAGGGCTGTCCTCCCCAGGGCAGCTCCCCTGCAAAGCTCAGGGCTTTCATTCTGGTGGTGATGAAGGGAGGGAGTGTGGGAGAAGTTTTAAGAGGATTTTCCTCCCGCCTTTTTGAAGTAAGAAACAACGTAAAAATTTAGTTTAAGAGGATGTCTCAGGAGCGACAGACGACAAGGGCACATAGTGACAGGACAAGAGGGAATGGTTTTAAAATGCCAGAGGGCAGGTTTAGATTGGATATTGGGAAGAAATTCCACCCTGTGAGGGTGGTGAGGTCCTGGCACAGGTTGCCCAGAGAAGTTGTGGCTACCCCATCTCTGGAAGTGTCCAAGGCCAGGCTGGGTGAAGCTTGGAGCAACCTGGGATAGTGGAAGGTGTGGAACAAAATGATCTTTAAAGTCCCTTCCTACCCAAGCTGCAGATTGCTTACTCAGTGGGATTTCATTTGGTAAACTTTTTCACAGAATTCCCTGTTAACCTCATGGCGAAATGACAAACACAGGAAATTGTACAGTTCAAAAACGGGGGTTCCACTGCATTTTCTTGGATCAAGCTCTCCCCATGCTGCTGCCTTCAAGCTGTGCCGGTCGTTACTGTCTGATGGTCGGGGTACGTTGGGACCCTCAGGGCGTGGCTGATTTTCCTTTCTCTCCCAGAAATCGAAGGCTGCCACAACAACAACGGAGGCTGCAGCCATACCTGTATTGAAGTGGAAGACACCTACCAGTGTGAATGCCCAAGGGGACTTGTTCTGTCAGAAGACAACCACACTTGCCAAGGTAGGTCAACAAAATCCCCCCAGCAGCCTCTGTCCCACAAAAGTATGTCTGGAGGAACTTCTCTTCTTGGTTTTGTTGTCCTCTCTTAGTCTGTCCTTTCCAGTTTGGTTAGTGGAGCTTTGTCCTTAATGACAGATCATCCAGAACTGAGAGCCTGAAGGCATTTGCTCTTTTAACCAGGCAGGAGAACAGCCACGGGGCCCTCCTGGGTGCCTCTTGCATTACAGGTGGTTTTGGCAGAGTTCACTTCCAATTAAGATTGCTTAATATCTCCCACTGTACTGCTCTGCTTCAGCTGGGTGTGCCTCTGACAAACTGATGCTGGTAGAACTGACATTTTCCATGCTTCAAACTCGAAAATTTCAGCTCAAGTGGTTCAGTCCCTTCCAACAGTGGGGTTAAAGAGAGAGGCATGGTTTTTCCCAAGGCTCTCAGTAGCCATTCCAGTAAGCATTCCTGTGTCTTGAAGCAGGGCAGTAGCTTTGATACTGGGTGTTCCTGCTGTCCCTTGGAAAAGTGCCCAGGATCCATCCTTGCACAGAGGCAAGGACAGCATTATCCTTGGAAAACCTTCCATGTGAACTTTTTCACAGGGAGCTTTCCTGCTGACTCACATGCACATGGAATAAACAGGTCCCATGTTTTGGGATGGGATTTCCTTTACAAATACATCCCAGGCTACCTGGAGTCTGGTGTTACCTGGTGTGCTCAGAGATCCTCTTGCAGTCTGGTGCATCACAGAGTGCCCAGGCATCAGCTGGAGGGACAGATCCAGACTTCCTGGGGGCCAGCAGGGCAGGTGTGCCTCAGAGAGGAAGTTGGGATGGTCCTACTTGATGGAATTTCTGCTTTTTTTGAAGCTTTTTAGAAGTGCAGGGCTCCCAAGGGGGTGAGCATTGCGCACTCGGGATCCAGCAGTGCTCCTGGGGAAAGTGGAGGTGGGGATTTCCAAGAGCTGTGACTGCACTGACTGATTGAAGGTCTGATGGATGGATGCAGAGCAGTGCTTTTCAGTCCTGGCTCCCTGAGGCAACCCCAGCAGGGTTGGGAGCCCTGGATTTCCCAGCCAGTGTTCCTGCTGTTTGTGAGGCTGTTTAATGAGAGCAGCAGCACTGCCAGGGGCTGGGCAGGGCTGGGGATGCAGCAGCTCATGAAGTGGAATCGCTTGTTCCTCTGCATGTCGTGGGTTTATGTCCCTGTGCACTGGTCTGCAGTTCTGAGCAGATGTGGAACTGTACCACACAAATTTTTATGAGATCCAATCAGGTTTATATTGGTTCAATTAGCAGTGCAGGGCAGGCACAGTTGCCTGAAGCAAATGGCTCTGCAGCCTCTCCACCCTCCTCTGCACTGTCTCTGTGCTCAGAACAAACATTAATAATCTTCCACTGAAACCACAGTCTTGGCTACAATTTTTCCACAAAGATACCAGCCAGCAAAACACTTGGAATTTTGCAGCCCATCCTAGTACCCCACATCTTTTTGAAGTGCAGGGGTGAAGTGGTTTTCCTCCCCTCTCCCCTGCCCAAGTTTTTTGTGTGGGTAAGCAGGGTAATTGGTTTGTAGCAGCGGGTCAGGGAACCTGTTCTGCTGGGCAGTCTGTGCAGAAGGATAACCCCTACTCCAAGCAGCTGCACTTTGGAAGGCCAAGGAAGGAACCAGAGGCTGGAACGTGATGCCAACAACAACAGCAGACAGCAAAATGAGTGTTGGACTCACCACAGAAGCTTCCAACCAGGGTCAAGTGTTGGTGCAAAGCAGAGTTTAAAGTGGAAATGAGGAGGATTTCCCAGTACTCACAGGTGCTCTGTGGTGTATGAGGGTGAAGAACTGAAATGTTTGGTTGGCACAGCCTGGATGAGGCTCTCAGGAGCCTCAGGACACGGATGCTGGCAGCAAGTTGGGAGGGTGCAGCTCTCTGTATGGATGCCAGAGGTTGGGAATAAAAGTGGGTTCCTTGGCTTCAGGATAACTCATTTCTGCTGGGCATCTCAGTCCTGGGACCTCACTGCTTGCCCTGGAGTAACATCTGCGCACCTTGTCATCTCCTTTTCAGCTCCCCCTGTCCTGGGGGGTCACTAGGAGGAGTTTCCCGGAGTGTTTAACCAGGATTTGTCTTGAATCACCAGTGGATCCACCCGCAGGTTTCCTTCACTTGTTCCTGTGTGTGCACACAGGTCCTGCAGTGCCAGAGCACGGGGTCAGTGGGGTCTTCTTTCTCCTCCTTTGTGCCGATCAAAGGCATGCAGAAACAGAGATATCCTTAACCAAATTGGTCCTGAACTTAGGAAAATTGCAGCTGGGGGACAAACTGTCTTGCCCTGAACTTCACCTTTCTAAATTAAAAGCCTGGCATTTTCTTATTGATCGAGGAGTCACTAGGGCAGTGAGGCTTTAAATCTAGATTGAGCCCATCAGTTCTCCAAAGGATGTTCCTCTGTGTGCACTGTGCTGTGTTCCAAAGTCTCTTTGTCTCCTCCTGAGCTTTGCCATCCGACGTGCTCCGTTATTCCCACCTGCAGATGGGAGGGGAAGTTGAGGTAGTTCCTGGTTCTTTAAGCTTCTGTTCTAACCCAGCAATGTCATTATGGCAGCAGATTGCTGTGGGCACTCTGCATACATTTTTGCATATCACCTTGGAAAGATCAAGTTCTTATTAAAAGTCCTCCCCTGCAGGTATAGAGGCTGTTACAAATACCTCAGCTGGGACAGGAGAATTTTTTTAAGGGGAGTAAAAAGCAGTGTGCCTTCTATACGAGATCCAGAATCCTAAATTACATAATTAATGATCAAAGTTAAGGGAAAGCAGGTCATATGAATGTCAAGGACTGGGACTGTAATTAATTTTGGCAAAGAGCTGGGGCATCTAGTAGATTTGCAAAAAGTTTTGTCGTGGGATTTTAAAATAAAATAAAGGGAAATTCCATAGGGGGATTGTTTTTCTGGCACCAGTACATTTGTCCTGTCTCTAGCTGAATAGATATGTATCTCCCAAGGAAAATATTTATATATATGTATATAGCAATTACTTTTTTATTGAAGATTATTCTCTCTTCTTTCCTTTTTCCTTTTGCCCGAGCTGAATGTTTTCTCCTGCTTCTTATGTAATGGAATTTTAATTTAAAAAAAAAAAAACACATGGAGATCTATCTGTATTAAAAATTCAGAGGTTGGAAGAAGGTGGGAATGAGTGAGATAATTGGGTTTGTTCGTCAGAGCTGGGTTTATTGCTTATAAAAATATTATTATGGCATTTTGAGGTGCTTCCATTTTAGCTCGGTATCTATATGGAATTACTCTGCCTTGTTTTGATGTGTTCTGGGTTTGATGTAAAAATCTGATTAAGGGTCTTAAAAAATGGCTTTGCCTGGGGTGTTGTGAATTTTATATCCATATCTGGCAAAGGCTCTTCCCAGGACATAGATAGCAGTGCAAGAGATAATCAATCAAACCTGTGCTGAGTGTTAAGTGAAGCTGGAAATGCTGCACAGCCAAGTTTCTGCTGCAAGTGCAGTGATTGCCTTCATTGTCTTCTGAGGCACCGCTGTGGCTGGAGAATCTGGGGCTATGGTAGTTCGGGTTTGTGTTGTGTAGGTAGGAATGCAAGATAGGCAGTCACTGTGGGGAGCTTGTGTTGGTAAACGCTGCTCAGGATCCCCCTCTTTTCCTCAGTAATAACTGGTACAGCCCTTCCCCAGCTCCTTCTGGTAGCTTTGTAGTGCAGGCTGTTATTGTGAGCACTTCTCTTGCAGTGCCAGTGCTGTGCAAGTCGAGCTCTATCGAGGTGAACATCCCAAAGGACCTGGTTGGAGGCCTGGACCTTTCCCTCATCAACACTTCCTGCAAAGGCGTCTCCAACGGCACTCACGTCAACATCCATTTCTCCCTGAAGTCCTGTGGAACTGTTGTAGATGTATGTATGGTACCTATTGCCCTGTCTCCTGGGGTCTCTGGATATGGGGACTTGGCTGTGGCTTCCTTGGGGGATAAGAGTTGGTTTAGCTGCCCTGTCAGAGCAGTTTCCTCTGTTGCCACGCAGCTGGTCTCGGAGTAGACCTAGGCTGACATCCCAAAGCAGGAGAGCTTGCTCCATCTCCCCTCCAGTGGTGTGTCTGTCAATGTGGGTGCTGCTTTCTGCTCGCCTGGTGCTTCACCTGGAGCTTCACTGTCATGCCAGTGCAGAAGGCACAAGTGCTGTCACTGCTCACCCTCCTGTTGAGACAGATTCTGGTCTCCTCTTCCAAAGATTAAACTGGCAGCTGGTCAGGAGCCAGAGAGCCCGTCTTAGCAGATGGGTGGCAGCTGGAAGCCAATTCCTCAGCTTGCTGCAGGAGTGCAGTGCATCACAGCCAACAGCAAACTGAGGCCCTTGGTTGGCGAGGGAGGGTGAACATCATTCTGGTTGCAGCGTATAAAGTCACAAAGCTCTGCCTTCAGCGGCCACTTTGGGTGTCCTGGACGAAGTCAACCCAGAGAGGTCTTTCTGAATGATCTCCCCTTTCCCTTCAACAGGTAATAGACGACAAGATCATTGCCACCAACCTGGTGACTGGCTTGCCGAAGCAGACCCCGGGCAGCAACGGGGACATCATTGTGCGCACCAGCAAGCTGCTGATCCCGGTGACCTGCGAGTTCCCGCGCCGCTACACCATCTCCGAGGGCTACGTGCCCAACCTCAAGAACTCACCCCTGGAGATCGTGAGCCGCAACCAGGGCGTCTTCCCCTTCACCCTGGAGATCTTCAAAGACAAAGACTTCGATGAACCCTACAGGGGGGCTCTGCCCACCCTCAAGCTTCGGGACTCGCTGTACTTTGGGATTGAGCCCTTGGTGCACGTCAGTGGACTAGAGACACTTGTAGAGAGCTGCTTTGCCACTCCCACCTCCAAAATCGATGAGATCCTCAAGTACTACCTGATTCAGGATGGGTGAGTTCACTGTTCCCTCCCTTGCTGGCTGTTGGATGGGAATTGGCAGTGGGGCTGGGTTGTCTTGTCTGTGTGAGGCAGGAAACACTATCCCTTCTCCACAGCAGTTTATCTGCCATGCTCCCAGCAATCACCAGCAGCCATCAAGCTGAAACCACCTGTCCCATCAAAAGTAATTGGGAGAAACTGTGGGAGGCAGTGAAAGAGGTTACTCCGAGTGCAGCCTTTGCAGGACATATTTCCCTGTAACTGGCCTTGTGGATAATTGAGTTGGCTCCTGTAGAAAAGATTCTCTTTCCTGATATCCGCTCTCTGCCAGCCACAGGCTGCCAAACCAATGGGCAGAACCCCCTGATGGCCATGTGCTCCTGCCAGACAGCTGCTGCAGCAACTGGAGCAAGTTTCTTAATTTTCTCATAATGGCCTTCTTACAGCCAGAAGATTCCATGGCTGATCCTAGCTGGAGCATCCCTCTCTCCGATGCCAGTGCAGCAAGCTTAGGATCCCTCAGTTTGGATGTAGTTTTCTGAGGTGTTTGGGGTCAGTGATCTTTGCAGGATATGCTAAAAATAACTGTGTGTGGATCTGTGGGTTCACTGGGGTGGGTTTTGGGGAGCACTGCTGGGGTCTCGGCTGTGGCTCCTAGGATGATCCCTGTTTTCAGGCACTTCTCTGGGTGCTAAAATGACTGTGCCACGCTACAGCATTGCTGTGGAGTGTTTGCATGCAGGAGCTTAACCAGACAGGGCTGTGAAAATGTCAGTCTGCTGTTCCTGTGGGGAGGAGAGTCCAGCCAAGGGAATGTCTAAGATATACCCAAAGTGTTGTAGCCTGGCAGTCAAGACACTGTGGTTGTGTAAGCCCTGTATGTTGTCTGCCAGACTGTCTGATGAGGACAACAATTATTTCCTCAGCTGCCCAGGCTAAATCACCCACCCTTACAGCTGGTGATGACAAGTCCTGTGTGGTTGTCTCATAGCAAAAGGGTCCTGCGGTGTAAAGTACCCAGAAACTCTGTTTTCATCCCCTAATGAAGGGTTCAGCTCTCCCTCCATCCTAGGCTTGCAGTCCTTCTGTGCCTGACATTTCTGGGCTTTATGAGCAGATTTGTAATGGGAGAATTGATTTTATTGACTCCCTGCCTTGGCTCTTCCCGTGGACCCTTCGCAGAGTCGAGGCTCCAAACATTCATTAATTTCTCCTCATGAGCGAAAAGGATGGGATTCAAAACAGCAAACAAAGCCAGATGGAGAAGGGAGAAGGCAGAAAATGTCATCCCTTAAATTCACCCCGGCGCTGGTTGGAGGATTTACGGCACCAGCAGCCCCTTGGTACCTGCAGAGGGCATTAAAACTTCACCGAAGGGAAAAGTGGGCTGGAGCCTCATCCAGCCTGCTCCTCTCTCCAGCCTCTCTGCAGCCCCCAGTGTCCCCAGACTCACCGCCCCCGTGGGCTGTGCTGTAGTTAAACTGCTCACTAATGATGTGCTGTCGAGCTAACTGGGGTTCTTTGTCTCCCCCTGTGCTTGCAGCGATTCAAAAGTAAAATTAGCTGAATAAATACACTGCTGAGTTGTCCCTGCTGCAGACAGTTCTGCAATAACCCACTTTCCTTCCAGCAACCCCGCCCCAAAAGCCCAGGGCAATAAAGATGGGATTTTTAAATCAGTTTGGTTATGTAGGATCAGACCTGCACATTTCTAGGCCCAGGTGGATGTTTTATTCTCCAAACCCTCCTTGCTACCTTAGAAACCCCCCAGTAAGAGGGGTCAGAGCTCCCCTGGCACTGCCACTCTTCTTCCTGAACTTAAAGCACAATATGAACAGAAAAGGGTTATTTTCTCCATATCCTGACCAGGCTCACCCGTTTTCCTTCCTTAGCTGTGCTCCCTGTCCTTTCCTACCCCTCCAAGGTGGCAGACAGGGTCTGGGGGTTTCCTAGGAGAGTGGATTAGGGTATGGCCCCACACAAAATGCAAAAGGGCTTGTCCCCATGACTCAGGAGGTTTCTGAGCTGGTTTTATCCATATATCCCTGACTCTCCCGTGATGTTCTCCCATCTCCCCTCCCCCTAACCCCAAACCAGTACGTTTCCTGCCACCAGGATGGCAAACCCTTGGAGAACTTGAGGTTTAGGAGTCAGTTTGAGCCAGGAACCATCACAGCTGATATGCTCACAAATGAGGACAGCCCTACGAGTTGACTTCACAGCCCCAAAGCTTGGCCACTCACCTTATGAAAAGTCTTTTAACTGTCACTCCTTACAATCAGATGCCTTCAGGAATGCTACTTTTAACAGCAGTTTTATCCTAAACAGCTGAGGGTGTTTGGCCTCAGGGGGCAGGAATCGGTCGTTTTCTGCACAGTGGTGATGTATCAGCTCTTTGGGGCTGGGTTTTGTGTTTGCCTCCAGGGAAGTGCTGCAGACAGGGATCTCCCTTCAGGCCATGGAGAAATGGAGAATTGCATGGTGGTGAAAATAATGCTGGTGGGATCAGAGCAGTGCTTAGTGCTCCCAGGAGCACGTGCTGCTCTCCCGTACGGAGAGCACGATCATATATTGCTAGTGATGGAAAAATGGAAATTATTCATTTTAGTGCAGTGAATTTGAGCTGTCTGACCAAATCCAGCAGGAAGAAATATAAATGTAAATGATACGTTCGTAAATGATACAAAGCAAAGCAAATCTGGATTTCTGTTGCTTTCATCATCTGTGATATTTTAGTAACGTGTGTACAGGCTTCATTTTAAGCATAATTTATGTGCATATATATGTGTACACAGAAAGTACATAACACATTCAACAGTGTATAACACTGCAGACTGTTGCACAGGAAGGTGAAACGAGGACAAACTTGCCTGCAGCTCTCTGGCAGTCCCTCTCTGAGGGGACTGGGCCACGTCCTGCCAGCTCTCTGCTGCTGAGCTGTCCTTTGTCTGCAGATGCTATTAGCACTGCTGTTGTTTTCCCCCCATCGTTCCCGAATTTTCTCCTGTGGCCAAAGAGGAAGTAGCAGGGATGGTAGCTCAGCTTGAGAGAGCCAAGCCCTCCTTTCCTTTCTCTGGTTTAAGTAGGCTGGAATGTCTTTTCTCTTTCTTTTTCCACTTCTGGGAAAGCCATTAAAAGCCTGTCCCTCTGCTTCCCTCAGCTGCGTGTCCGATGACTCCGTGAAGCAGTACACGTCAAAGGACCATCTTGCCAAGCACTTCCAGGTTCCTGTGTTCAAGTTCGTGGGCAAAGACAACAGGGTAAGCTCAAAACTCAGCTCTCAGGTGATTGCATCAGCTCTGGTCTGACCGAGGAACCTCAGCACCAGGGTGTTGAGAGCGCAAAGGGGAGGAGTGGCTGGCCCAAGGCAGGTGCTGCTGTGCCTGTTCCAGCAGTGTGTCTTTAAGGAGCCTGACACAGGTGCTTTAGGACAGACTGATAAAAACAACTAAAGTGAAGTTGTGGACCATCAATGCCATAGCAGGCTAAAATCATTGTTGTGTCCAGGGTGGTCTTAGTGGACCCCCCCCCATATGCCAGGTGAGAGAGGTGTTCCCAGTGACCAGGCACATTTTGCAGTGTCCTGTCTTCGAAACAGGACAGTCTGCAGTTTGGAATCTCTTCAACCTCATGTCTTCTCTAGGTCTTGGGAGTACAGATGCCAGGACTCCAGATGCAAGGTCACCACACTGTTCAGTTCAGTGTGAAACCCGGCTGTCCAGGGGCACTCTGGGGCAGAAGCTCAGTAGTGGGAGGGCAGTTGATGGATAATCCATCCCCTTTCCCTAATGCAAATAGCTTTCCTTTTCTGGGCTGGACTAAACTGGGTCTTCCACTAATTGTTATGCTCAGCCAGCACTGCTTACTCCACAAGGTATAAAGCTGCTGCTCCAGCTACCAGAGAGCCCCAGCAGGGTTAAAACAAACGAGATCTTCCAAAATTCAGAAAATTTTCTTGGCTGTCTGACTGCCACTGCTGTCTCCACCCTGCATCCTCCCAGCCTGAGCCATGGATTCTGCTTCAGACCTCACCATTGACCATGTATTTGTGACTGCTGCTTGCAGGGATCTTGCTTCTTCTCCTCGTCATTTACCGGGCAGGGAGCATCAATCCTCTCACTGCCTTTGCTGTGCAGGATGACAAGGCAGCTGTTTCCCTGCTCTGTGCATTCTCCTCCTTCCCTCAACTCAGCCCCTCATCACCCTGCCTTTTCCTCCTTTTCCCCTCAGATTCTTAGCTTCGTGTTTTCTCAGCCCACTTCAACTCCTCTTGCACGTTTCTCTCAGCCCATCTCCTCGTGACGCTCCACGTGTTCTTGACCTGCCTCCTGCCGTGCAGCTCCTACCAGCCCGTGCGAGCTCTTCCGAGCTTATTCCTGGCGTTTCCATCCCTTCCTCTGGAGGGTCATTTCATGCCTTCATCTTCCCCGTGTGTCCACCCTTGGCTCACAGGCAGATGCCGTGCTCTGAGATCTCATCTGAGAACAGACAGTGCGGCCGGTTTGGCCGTGGGTGGCGATGGTGGGTACAGACCCCGTCGATGCGGGGACAGAAGTGCCCGTGCCGTGGCAGCGGTGCCAATGGTGATTCCCAGAGCGCTGACCCCATCCTGCTATCTCCCCACCCCCAGGAGGTGTTCCTGCACTGCCGCATCCTGGTGTGCGGGGCCCTGGACGAGACCTCCCGCTGCGCCCAGGGCTGCCGGAGACGCGTGCGCAGGGCGGCCGGCGACGAGGAAGAGGAGGAGAAGGGATCTGTCCACGTGGCAAACCACGTCCTGACAGGTGGCCCCATCAGAATCGACTTTGATGACTGACACCCACCCTCTGGAACGGCCTTCCTTATCAATGCCTTCCTTATCAATGCCTTCCTTATCAGTGCCTTCCTTATCAATGCCTTCTGTCCTGGCCCTTTGAGAAACAAGGGGTATTTGGCAAAGCCCCACTTGCACCTCAGGACTCGTTTTCCTAACCCTGTGATGATTATTCGTTAAGTGTTTTGGACACTTGGACTGCAGAATGGTTTGGTTTTACCTGCATTTCTTCCCAGCATTTCAACCCTTTGGCTGGAGGGACCCTGTTGCTTTGCAGGCCTGAAGTGTTTCCCAACTTTGTCTTTCCCTACATCTGCCTGCAGGCTCCAGGACTGTTCGTCCTTGACTAAACAAATGTTATCTGAGGCCTTCTTGCATCAGGCAGTACAAATAGTATCGTAGCTGAACGTGTTTGCTGTGCGGTTCCGTGAGCGATGCTGAAGCTTTGGGGTGACTGTTAATAAAAACAAGTATAAAATATTCTGTCTTATCATGTGTAAATTCCCTGGAGCTGTACAATTGTCATCACAGGCAGCTAAAGCTCAGCTCTATCACAGGCACATTTAAATGTTATTTTAAAGGGTGAAAGCTATTTAATAAGATTTGATTTTTTTTTTTAGTGTCTTTTGGTAATTGCATGCAGTTTAATAGTATTTAGTGTATCATTATTTTTCTCTCTCTTCTCCCACCACCAAAAATGCCTTTCCTAAGTGCCCTGGCACACTGATTGTAAGAGAAGCACCATTAAACATCTATAAACACCCTCCCTCTCAGGCGTGCTGCTACCAAGTGTTTGTTTGGAACTTGTGAGGCTCCAGCAAAGGGATTAGAGGAATGCACAGCAATTATTTATAGCAATCACTTGTAATGTGGGCAGTTCTCAGGACAGGGCTGTCCCCTGGTGACAGGAGACACCAGGCAGGGCTGTTCAAGTGGCTGTGGCTGGGGACACAGTGACTGGTGGCATCGTGGTTGTCAGGAATCTCTTGGGGCTGTCAAGCTCCTTCCAAAGAAAACACAACAGATGATCAGCTCGGGCTCCTCTGGGCTTCCTTCATTCAGGAGCAGGAGCGCTCTGAGGTGAAGGATTGGGGATGTGGGTTGAAAGGAAGGAACTGAGCAGTGAAGGACAAAGGAGAGACAGGAATGAGGATGAAAGAGGAAGGATCCGTCTCCACGGCCGGCTGTGGCACTGCAGTGTGTTCCTGAGGTGTTCTGCAAGAGGCTTCTCCTTGTGCAGCTCCGTCCTGCGTGTTTGGAGGTCTGCTGGAAGCCTCCCTATCCTTCATTACCTGTGTTCTGCTTTGGTTGAAGGCAGCCAAATTACTGCAAAAAAGATTTGTTGCTGCTTTCAAAGGGGTGGGGAGCCTGTTTGAAGGGATCATTTAGAAGGGAGTCACAAATCACCTCAGCAATATTCCATTTCATGGATTTATTTGTTCTGGCAAGTGAGATTCCAGTGAGGAATGGGCATTTAATGGGCTGAGAGTTTCATGACTTTTCTAAATGGCTCCATGGCTGCTTTTCCAATCTGGGAATATGTGTATGTGTTAGAGTAAATCATCATTTCTATGATGATAAGTAGGTCTAAGTGGAAAGACACTGTTCATGTGTTATCTAGCCATATGTGAAAGAAAAAGGGAGGAAAAAACCTCCTCCTAGGATTGCTGTTCTGCTGATTCACATCTGCATTAGGACCACATGGGCAGTTTCCTGCTGTCACTTCTTTGTTCAGGCAGCCCTTGCTAAATATACTTGTTTTGATAAAACAAGTGCTGGAAAATTAAGTTAATGATCTGGGGCCTTCTGGAGAGGCAACCAGTGGTGTTTGTTCGTGTGAGAGGGATGTGGGGGAGTGATGGAGGGAGAGGTTCCTTTCCTGGCTTATTTCAGTTATTGTGCAGCTTATTTAGCTCTTCCTGGTAAATTCACATGAAGCAGCTTTTCCACTCTGCAGCTCTTTAGCTCAGTAATCTGGATTGGGATATCCAAGATTTCTGTGGTTTGGAATACCCAGGTGTAAAAACCTATTTACCTGCTGTCCTGGTCCCTGCCTGGGGAAGGGAACAGAGTGGAAGCAGAGATTGCTGTCAGTGGAGGACCCATTGGCTGAATGGGTTGAAGTCAGGAAGGAGGTGAAAAAAAATCCTGCCAAGACACGAAGTCCACGAGAAGCCACAGGGTGAGCTCAGTGTCATCTTCCTGTCTGGAGCAGGGTGGGAGTGAAGGTGACCCAAGGCTCGTGCACTGACCTAGGGTTTGGGCCTGAAGAAATTCTGATTTATGTTAGCGTCATCTCCAACGCATCAGTGTCTGCACAGAGAGATTCTGTTCAGCACCCTTTGATTTCTCCAGTGTATATCATTACCTGCCAGCAGTTGCTTGCCTTTAATCTGATGTCATTTGAACTGTAAAATATTTGAAGGCATTTGCCAGCCAGTTGGCCGTTGAGCATGGATAATATGGATGCTTTAATTTCCTTGTCATTTAATCATAAGAGGATGTTCACATTTCAACAGGCAACAGGCACCATTTCACCAACAAATTGCAGAGTTTGGGAAGTGTCTGGAATGAGGGACGTTTCCTTCCCATCCCCAGGCAAAAGCGTGTGTTTCTTAGATGGATAAGCAAGGCTGTCTGAACAGACAGACACACACAGCGATGTTCCTCTCCAGTGGCATTAGCCCAGCTGGGAAAGGATGTCATTGCATCTGATCAGTGTAAATTAAGGTCCTCCATAACAGAAAACAGCCCCTGCAGTCACTTCCATTTTTCTGGTCTGGATACTAGTGGGCTCTCGTTGTCTCAGCCTGTTTGGGGCCGGTTGAACACCTCATTGCTGTTCTCTGGGAAGCAAAGACGGCTGCCGAGAACAGAAATACGGGGCTTGCTTAATTTATAGCTCTGTGCACACGTTTAGACCCAAACTGGAAGAAAGGTAACTAAGACAGACTCTTTCCACTCTGGTTAAATCACCCTTCTGCAGCCTAAACTTCTCCGTGGCAGATGGAAGAACATAACCATAAATATGTTTGCAGAAGCTGCTGAAATATTTACATGGCACGGCACGAGCACCCGGTAACAACTTCCTTGCAACAAGAAACCCATCTGAAAGCCGTCTGCCAATGCTAGGTGGAGATGAGATGCCATATACCACTTTAAATTCTAATTTTGCATGCAATAAAAGCTCCCCACAACAGATGGGGAGCATTAACCACGTTTTAGAAGGGGCGGTGTCTGAGGCTGCTGATAGCAGCCCCATAGAGGTAGCACGTAAGCCCTGTCATCTGACAGATAAGCCTCCAGAATTTGGAATATCTCATCCAAGGCCACTGGGAGCCTCCTGTTTCCCTTGTGCAAAAGATGGGAGTGGATACCCAGCCATTTCGTGTCAAAGGGATCCAAAAGGAAAAGCTTTGTTAAATGGTATGGGAGGAAAATAATTGAATAGATGTGGATGACACTGCCAAAGAAAAGCAGCTTCATCTCCTGAGACTGGAGGGGGAGGGCTGTGATTTTGCATCTGAGAAGTGATGGGCTTTGGTCCCAGATGTGAGTTATGCCTTTGTCACAAACACCTCAGGTCCTTCTTGTGTTTATCAAATCTCCAGATGTTTTAAATTGTTTTAGGATCCACCAAATATTTAAATATGCAGGGTTGTCAGGGTGTGCAGTGATGGGATGGAAAACGTCAGGGATGGGTGTGAGCAACGTACTGAAAGCAAATTACCCCTCTTCAGTCTGTCACCAGTGGTGGAAAAATGTACTGAAAGCAAATTACCCCTCTTCAGTCTGTCACCGGTGGTGGAAAAATGTAAATAGCGTGTCCATGGACCGGGAATTCCGCAGGAGTTGCAGAAACCTGATGCCTCGCACTGCAAATTAGAGAGTTCCAGAGCAGGGGGAGCTCACAGATGTGTGTTCAAGGTAAAGCCTCTTGTTTATAACCAGCACTGCATCCTGCTTGCCTCCCCTGGTCAGTCCATGGAGAAGATTGGCATCGGCTCTGCCAGGCTGCTGGCCTTGGGAAGGGGCAGCAGGGCTGTTGAACTGCGGCTGCCCCGTGTTCCCAGGCTGTCCCCGCTTTGCCCACGGGCTGTGGTTGGTGTGAGTGGCATGGCCCAGGTCCCCCCAGTCCCAGAGGGATGGCAGGAGTCACTGTGCGGGGAGGGGATCCTTGGCAGCGGCTGCTGCTCCTCACAGCTCATCCCGCTCCTCCTCGCTGCAAATGCAGGCGCTCCTCTGGCTGTTCATGAAGGGCCGGCAGCCCAGGGTCCACACGGCGTTGAACACGGTGTCTGCCACGGACTCGCAGGCTGGGGACAAGGACAGGGCCAGGCAGGTGAGTGACAGCGCCCCAATGAGCTCCCTGGGGTTTGGGGTTTGCACCCTGCGGGCTCTCACCCCTCCCCTGGGAATTGCATCCGTACAAACCCCGACGTCCCCTCCTGCGGAGCTGGGGGTTCTTTCTCTCCCTCTTCTCTCCCTTCTCACCCCCCTCCTTTCTTGCCTCTCTCAGGCTTTACTGGTTGATGGATCACCAGGGGCTCTGCAAACAGCACTGTTTACCAAGCAGATTTCCCAGGAGACCTCCACACTGCTGTCTTTCCTGGCTGCCTCTCCCCTCAGTTTAGCCTATAGCCACTATTAACCAACCTTTTTGTGCTTTTGGGGAGTTATGATACCAGCATGAAAAACCCTCCTGCAGTTGGAACAGCTGAGTGTCTGACTCCTAGCCCCTCCTCATCCCAAAAAACAACCCTGAAACTGCTTGTCGGTAAATAATTGGTTATTATTAGGACTTTAGGGTTTACTCACTGGCATAACATCGATTGTTGTATGCATAATAAATTTGGGAAAGCCTTGCCTTTGGGATTGTCTTCTCCCATCTCAGCCTCTCCAAACACCTTGGAGCTCCTTTAGGAGCTGAAGAGGCTGTGGTGAGTCAGTGGAAAAACCAAGGCTTTGGCAAACTGGCACTGCTGCAGCTGGAGTGTTTGTGCCCACACAAAGGGAGTGCAGCTGCTCTTCCCCTGCCTGCTCTCCCTGAGCTCCTGGTGACTCAGTGGAGAGGATCCCAGGGAAGTGACACGGGTGGGGAGCCATCTGCACTAGCACTGGTGTTACAGACCTCCCACGTGTCCTAATCAGGCTGTACCTTTGGAAAGCAAATGCATGTTGAAGGATACCTTACAGCAGAGCATCAGCAGAAATTACCAAACACAGCCCTTACCAAAAGCTCTTCTTGGACTTGCAGAACGAGGCTTTTAAAATTAGGCAAAAGCAGGGTGGCACTTGAGCTGCTGACACATCACTAGAGCTTTCATTAGCACTTCTGGGCAATCCAGATCTGCCCTGGGTGGCTCAGCTATGGCTCAGCCACCACCCACACTGTGGTGTGTCCCTGGTGCCATCAGCATCTCTTATCTGGGAACAGATCCCAGGGAGTCCTGTCCTTGGCTCTCCCAGTTTGTTGGCCCTTGGCCACATACAGGACAGGTTCAGTGTGTGTGGCTTTACTGGCTCTGGAAAGTTTTTCAAACAATCCTGTATTTGAACTCTCTGGGAGGGCATCCAAACTTTGAAGGAATTGCTTTTAGCGTTTTTTTGTTAGTTTTTGGTTTGTTTTTTTTTTTCCTTTCTACATATTAATTAATGTTTTCCAAATGCAAAAACACCCGTGGGTCTCCAGTCTCGGGACAGAGACTCTGACCCACCAGTGACAAGCGCAGGGCAGAAGTGCTGCTCCCTACTGCCGCTTTTTTTTTGCTTCTTTCGGCAAGGAAAAAGGGGCTCCTTGCACTCCCCCTCCCCTCCCTGCCACCTCTGCTCCCCTCCACAGGGAATGCCAGCCGGGAAGCCCACCTTGGACCTTGGAGACGAAGCCGAGGCTGCGCTTGAGGTCGGAGCAGATGGAGTGGAGGCACCAGCGGAACTTGGCGTCACAGCGGTACTTGTTGGCCCCACAGGTGTCGTAACAAATGTCCAGCTGGTTACAGCACTTGGTCATGGCAGGGATGCCCAAATCTAGCTGGGGAAAGAGAAAAGGAAGTGTCCCTGGGCTGTGTCCTGGCCTCAGGCTCAGGCAGCTGTGACAGGGTGAGGTGCTGCGGAGCCCAGCCGGCTCCTCCTCCAGAAGTTACCCAGGATAGCTGGGGCAGCGGGAGGGAACGTGTGCTGCTCCCTCACCATCTGAAGAAAGTGGTGACACTGCTGCAGGTTCAGTGCAGGGTAGATCACATTCCCTTCTCCCCTCTCTGTCACAGGGAATAAACCTCTGGTAGAGAGGTGGGGAACAGCCCCTCCGTGACCATTTGCTGCTTTTCATTTGTCAGAGCTCATCAGAGAGCTCCATGTCCTTGCCAGCAATGGCAAAAGCCCCTTTGTTTCCTCTTTCCTCCTTTTCCCAAAACATAACAAGTCCTGCTTTTTGGCCTAATAAATCTGCCATAAGTGTTTCTAATGACTTATTTCTCAGAGATGCACTTGTGAGGCCAAGGACAAACATGGCGTGGTCACAGGAGTTCTGCTCTCCTGGAGTAAACAGCAAGCTCAGCTAATAACCATGGGAGTGAGGGGGCAGAAGGCCTGCCTTCTGGAGAGGTTGGACTCATTAACTTGCTATAAATTATTCCTCCTTTTTGGCCTTTCTCATGTAAGATTTAGGAGATGAATTGTTCCGTGATTGCCCGTGTCAGGAGGAGGTACCACAGACACACCCACAAGGTTTGCAACGAGATAGAGTTTAAGGGACTAAACCTAACACCAAAAATGGGCTGCGAGGAGAGGGGCCTTCAGGCAGGAATCTGCCTGATTGCTGCATGAGCTAAGGAGGAATTCCTGCTCTGATACCCTCCTGGGAGTGCCTCTCCCGGCGATTCCAATAGGATTCCATTAATTGCCTTTAAAATAACAGGCAGGTGCAGCATCAAAGCCCGGTGTGTTTAATTCGGTGCTCGGCAGAGGCAAAAAGGCTGGGAGGGGGTGGAGGATGCACTCAGGTATTGCTGTGTGCAGCGCTGAGTGTGTTCCCTTCTCTCTTCCCAGGATTATTAGCTGGCTTTGTGATTAGGGAGCCGCCCCATGTGGGAATGGGGGGGTGTGGCAGTACATACACTTTCGGGTACCTTGAGCCCCAGGAAGTGGGAGCTGCAGCCGTTGGGTTCCTGGGGTTTGTAGTGAGGCCGCGGCATCGGAGCCTTCCCTGAGAAAGGAAGGACAAGGGTTAGGAAAGCCCCTCTTCCCAAGAGGTAGCACCAAAAAGCAAGGAGTGTCAGGCAGCTCCCCTTTGGTCTGCATCCCCAAACGCTTCATTCCGGTCCAGGAATGTGCCTCCCGAGAGCTCTGCACAGCTGGGATCACCCAGATGGGGGTTTAACTCCTCCAAGAAGCTACTACTTACACCACTCACTTAGCAAGGGGTTTCTTTCCACCCTCAGCTCTTTCTTGGAGTGTTGGTGTGCTATGGGGCTCCACAAAATTGTGTTAGACCTTGCATGTCTGACGTGGCTCTGAGCAGGTCTCCTTGGTCCATTTTCTGCAGATGGTGATGCACTGCCACGTTTTGCAAATCATTTCTGTTCCTTTAATCCCTGCACCTCCCTCAGTCTGCTTCTTAATACGCATAAAGGAACAAGAATTCCCTCTGTGAATAATTATTTACCTAATGTGGAAAGAGTCCAGCAAACAATAAGTAGCTTCAGCAGCATTTTAACCATTTTAATTGGATTTCTGAAGGTGTGCAGGTCCTGACAGAGTGGATGGCTGAGGGGTGGCTGCTCAGGACTGGAGAGATAACACTCTATGTGGAAAGGAGATGTGGCTATTCCCTGCCTTGTCTCATCCTCTCTCTCATTCCCACCTCACCCCCATCTCCATCTAAGCCAGCATCTCCTGTTTGGGGAGGACGAGTCTCCAGGCTGCTTGTGTGCCTTGGTCCTGCTGTGCAAGGAGTGTGTTTAAAGGTGGGAGAGGTTTATCCCCTGGAGAAGTTGTGGAGACCACCCTCAGGGAGCTGGGTTTCTCTGAACTCTCCCTCAGTGTGTGCTCAGTGCTCGTTTCTGTCCCAGCTGGGCTCATAAAATGGGGATCTCCAATGCAGAGTGAGGTGTTAAAACAAGACATTTGTCACAGAATATCCTGAGTTGAAAGGGATCAGGATATCCCTTCCAACAGGGACACACAGGGATCATCCAGTCCAACTCCTGGTCATGCACAGAGACCCCAACAATCCCACCATGTCCCAAATGCTCCTGGAGCTCTGGCAGCCTTGGGGCTGTGCCCACTGCCCTGGGGAGCCTGTTCAGTGCCAACCACCCTCTGGGGGAAGAACCTTTTCCTGAGATCTAACCTGACCCTGCCCTGACACAGCTCCAGCCATTCCCTCAGGTCCTGTCATTGCTCTGGGAAGGCACTGTAAGCTGTGTGAATGTTTCAACAAAAACGTGTAAGCTGAGTCTTCTGTACGTCCAGCACATCAAGGGTTAAGTTTCTAATTCCCTGAGCACTGCTAGAAAATTTATATAGATATTAAATGGATCTAGTTCGGCCCTTCAGACAGGGTTGGGTTCTTTTAAACTCAATTTCCACTGCTTTCTCCTTGTCAGCACTAATAATTATTTAGGACTCCTTCCCCTTTTTTGTGTTGAGGTACCTAAAATGCCAGTGGTTAATATAGCCATAAATCTACTATGCTCTTTAGAAGACCTCCCAGCCAAATGCCTCTAAAGGTCTTATGTAGGAGTGTTCCCAGCACCTGCTCAGTTAAAAATTGCCAGGGTGGTTTAGTTTAAATAACAGATTTGCAACAAATAAACAACAAACTGAAATCCTGTCCAGCTGTAAGATGCTAACAGCCAATTTCCCCCTTCCAAATGAGCCTTGTTGGGACTCAGAATTCAAATGTTCCTGAGCCTGAGGTAGGAGACAAAGGTCAAAGTCCACAGTGGGTTTTGCAGGATGGAGTCAAATTGGAATGACTTGCTTGTAATACTGATAGTAAGTTCTGTTCCTGCAGCACATTGCCAGTTAAATGGTATAAGGTAAGTCAGAGTAGGGGTGAGAATGTTTAGGGATATGGAGAGTTCCAAGCTCCTTCATCTAGTTCCATGCCCCAGATAACTCTGTTTCCAGAGCAAACCTTGCATTAAGCTGAAGTCACAGCTGTTGGAATGCCTTGGAAAGTTGTCCTGAGGAAAAAAACCCTCACGTGAGAGTTGTGGTGATCAACAAAACACTGAACTGCCTTCAAGATGAGCCCCTGTAGGAAACCCGCCCCCCCCCTCCTCTCTGAAAACAGAGCTTAATAATTTGTAAAGTGCCTCTTTGTGAACTCTTGCACCACTATTAACCTCTCTCCCACGCCTTGCTTCGTAGTTAGCAGGAAAACAAAAGCAAATCAGAAATACCAGGCGTTCCCGACTCTCTGCGAGCAGCAACTCCCTGCTCCTGTTACCACTTATTGCTTGCCCATCCTTGCAGGCAAGAAAATATATTCCAGGGCACTGCCTTGTTGGCAGAGCCTTGGAGCTGAAGCTGAGTTTCCCTGATGCATTTTAATGTCTCCAGGCTGTTGCAGCTGTTCCAAGGGGCTGGAAAGCAGCCAGCTGGCTGGAGCAGCTGCTGGCGATGCAGGAGGTCTCAGACACTGCAGTGCTGGGACCCTGGCAGGGGGAGGTGAGTGTATTTCTGGCTGTGAATGGATGGTCTCGGGGCTCCTGGCGGTTTTGGGTGGTCCATTGTTGTTTCTGCGCCCCAGGCAGGCTTTGAGCAGAGGTTCCCCCCTGCTTCCCACAGCCTTTTAGTGCAGTGCTGGAGAGCCTGACTTTGAAGGCTCTTTTCCCACAGCCTGGAGGTGCCTCCTCATCTCAAGGCCTTCAGGGCCAAATGCTGGGCAAAGCATTGAAGTCCTGCCTGCTCAGGGAGCTGAAGGAAGCTACAAGGGCTTTGCTCCCAGCTCAGGCTCTTTGTTTCCCCTGGGATGCCCAGAGGGACTTTGTAAGCAGGAGGAGCTGTTGGTCAGTGAATGCCTGTGTAACCCTAATGTCCTGATTTCAGGGAATAATCCATCAAGTTGTTTGTTTGCAGACCTCAGTAGCTGCTGAAAAATCGGGAGAGTCTTAGAGCCAGGTGCCATGTGCTCAGCTGAAGATGGATGTGGCAATCAGAGGTGAGCCCTGACCTTTTCTGGGGCAAAATAAGCTATTATTGGTATTTCTTGGGTGAAATGGAAGAAAGTAGAAGGCATAATTTTTTTTTTTTCTTCATGCCTGGGGAAAAAAGCATTCAGGCCCTGATTCAGCATAAAGATGGTTTGTGTTTGTTCTTTTGGGCACAGACTGGATCTCACTGGTGTGGGATCATCCTGGCATCTTCATCACTCAGAGTTTGCAGTGTCTGTGCTAGAGACTGGCACGGGCAAATGGTCCTGGAAGGGTCTCCAGCAAGACCCTTGGAGGCACATGGGCAGTGTTTCAATAATTTCCTCCTTCAGCCAGTGACTGATGAGCTGTTCAGCAGAGAATGAGAACTGGGATAACGATGTGCTTGTTCGTTTTCCTTTCTAAGTAAAACTGCTCCAGTAAAACCCGGGACACCCTCGGGCTGTGGGCGGGGATCTGTGCTGCTGTCTGGAGGTGCTCTTCACAGGGGCAGAGGCAGGGAGAGCCCTAAGGATGTGTCCAAAAGCAGTGACTTCTCCAGGATTTGGTGAGTCCTGAGGCTCCCTGAAACCAGCTCTGAGTACCAGCATTGCCTCAGGCACGCTGCAGCCCCAGCCACGTTATTCCCACTGCCAGGGGTTTCAGCCTCTACATTCAGAAGGGCAGGCCCCTTTCTGCTCTGAATTTGGAGCACGGTGAGGACCTTTAGGAGGTTGTCACTGCCACACTGTGACACGGGGACAGGCTGCCCCATGGGCAGCTGTGGGGGGATGCTGTGGGGGATGTGTCTGGGGGATGCCTGTGGCCCTCCTGAGCTGCTGCAGAGAGGCAGCCTGAGCTTGGGGGGCTGAGGTGACAGAGGACAAGATTTGCTGTGGGGACAGTTGCAGGAGGCTGGGGAGAGGATACAGTCTGTAGGAAGCCTCCTTGCTTGCTCCCAAGCAGGTTGTTTCAGCAGGTACCCTGCTGATGGCTGATGCTGCCCGTGTCTGCCACCCCACAGACCTGCAGCTCTGCACACCCTGTGCCCTGCCCTGCCCTCCCTGAGACCCCCTTCCTCCTGGCTCTGGGAGAAACAAAATTCCTCCTTTTTGGTAAATCACTCTAAAGTCCCAAGGCAAGCGGGAGCTGCCTCATTTCCACCACGAGTACTAAAGGTTCCCCCCAGTCTCCTCCCTGTTCTCTCCCCTCCTCCAGCCCACGGCATTGGCCAGCTCACAGCTGCTGGGTAAGGACACTCCTAAGGTTGCTGACATTGGGGCCGCGGGCTCAGCCTCCCCTCTGGGGCCTCTCTGCCCACCCTGCTCCTCTACAGGGCTCCTGGCAGCCTCGGTACCTACGAGCCCCTCCTGCCAAACCTGTGTCCTCTCCTCCCTCCCCCTGCACAGGGGCTGTTCTTGGGCACGGGGAAAGGTGAGGGCTCAGGGTCCCTGTGCGGGCACGGGCACAGCAGCTGTGACTGTGCCCAGCACAGCGAGGGGCAGGTCATGGAGAGGAGGAGCTGAGCTGGCTGTGGGTCTCAGGGAGGGGAGCGCTGAGAGAGGGAAGGAGAGGGTCACTCACCATACCGACATCTGTACTGACAGACCCCGTTCTTCCCCCCGAGCAGCTCCAGGAAGGAGTCGAAGTAGCTGTTGACCGTTTCGAAGCTGTCCCGGATGGTGTCGATGCCCCAGTCGGAGTAGGATGACTCTGCCCGTGGATCCTGCTGGCCGGTGCTCTCCTGCGCTGCCCCCTCGGAGCAGTGCCCCAGCCCCAGGGACAGGCACAGCAGCGCTGCCGGCAGCAGCAGCCTCATGCTGCCCTCCAGCCCCACAGCCCTCGGGGAGCAGTGGGATCGAGCTGCCCTGGGTGGGAGGCAGGTAAAGCACCCCCTCCCTGGACTTTAGACACTGCCAGGGAGCCGACGTGAGGTCACTGCAGTGGGAGAGCAAAGTGCAGCGCCGGGGTTTGGGACCAAGTTCACCTCACAGAGGTGTGAGTTTGCACAACCCCGCTGGAACAGGCTCAGCCCCCACGGCGCCAGGGCTCCAGCTCCCCAAGAGGGACCCCTCCCTGGGGGGCTGAGCGGGGTCTGTCTGCCCAGGACCCTCCACCTGCCCCTCAAGGCCACCTCACTCCCTCCCCAGCCTGCTGGGAGATGAGTATCTCTATCCAAAATTTCTGCTGCTCAAGCAGTGGATCAGCACACTGAGGAGCACCCCTTGCCTTTTCCCAGTGCCTCCTGGGCACGGGATGGGGTGGGATGAGACCCAGCCTAGCTGCTCCCAGCAAATCCCGTGGGACCACAGAGCCCCGGAGGGGTTGATCCAGCAACTTAGAATAGTTTGGGGTTACAAACACTGCATTCAGGGCAATTCCTTGGCATCACCTGCACTTCCAGTGTCAGTGTTGCAGATGAGTATTTGCCTTTGATGGGGCTCCTGAAGGCTGATGTTACAGCTCTGTGGAATGCCAGCGTTGCCAAATTAAACATGCAGCATTGGTGATCCAGAGCAAGGAAGGGCTGGCACCAAAACCTGAGCCAGGACAGGGGCTTGTGGGGGAACTGCAGGTCCTGGCTCTGGGGTGGGACTGCCCTGCCAGGGCCCAGGGGCCTGCACAGCTGATGGACAGTTCAAGGAAGTTACTCATTAAAAAGGAAACAATCAAATGAACACGAGTAGCAAAAAGACAAAAAAAAACACTGATAAAGAATAGGGAAGGAAAACGGCATGGGAAGCCTCTGGCTGCTCCCAGAAAACTTTTGGGATGTGTCCCAGCACAGCACTGCCCCTCAGGGGAAGCTGGGCAGTGAGTCTTTCAAATATATGGCAAACACAATTGCAAATTCTGGCATTTTATTGTTTTGCAGGAGACTCAGCCCTGCTGTGTTGCTGCTTCTGAAGGGCCAGAGCCCCGTGGCAGTGCCTGTGTCTTTCTGGATGTGGCCATGTGTGATGTGCTCCAGACTTGGGATAAAGGAGGAGGCACCACAGCCGAGTCTTGGTTTCCCAGACAGGTAAGTCAGAGAAGTGGGGAAGAGGAGCAAACAAGGTGGTTGGTTCCCACTCCTTTGGGAAGAGGGGTTGGCAGTGTTCAAGCTGCAGACAAGGAGGGAGAAGACTGTAATACGTGGTGAGAAATTAGGGTGATGTTTTGGGCTGAGCTAGAGGTGCCAGGTTGCTCCAAGAGAGTCTGTTCCCTGGATCCTGGGAACCAGCCAGCCCCTGCCTCTAAGTGAGCCTTTTGTGACAGCTGTGTCACCCCTGGCACTAAGCAAAGGATGGTGAAGTGAGGATTTCCCTGCAGGAACACTGCAGAGCTCAGACCTGTCCTGCTGTTCAGACCGTGCTGTGGACTAGTCTGTCAGTCATGGGTGGAAATGGTCCCTGGAATTTGCTGTCAGGGAGCTCCAGTGCAGGGAAAATTGGGCTGAACAGTCCCCTGCTGTGTCTCACAGTGAGTGGAGCCATTGGTGTCTCTGCCTGACACTCCAGTTTGCAGTCCCAGTGTTCCCAGCCCTTACCAACAGCCTGGCAGAAATGAAAAAGCAAACCAGCTATTTAGGAATGGCTTGGAAATGTGTAGAGCCCCTGGGTGTCTGTGCTTGGTGCCATGCTTTTAATATGGAGCCTTTTAGGGTTGCTCTGGAGGCAATTCCAGAACACAGCCTTTTTTTTGTCATCCCTTGGTCCCTGGTGGCTGATCCATGTGCTGCTGAAGGCAAACAGAGAGGGGGTAAAAGTACTGGCAGGGCTGCAGAGGATGCAAACCACAGGGAATGTGGCATGAGCAGGACATGCAGCCTGGAGGGGGTGGCTCTGGAGCACGGGCTGTTTGCAAAATCAATTGGAATTAGTCAGGAAAGCTGAATAGGGCGGGGAGGGAGGAGCTGGCAAAGTGCAGAGCCTGGTAAAAGAGGAGTCAGACACTTTCCTGCCCATTTGCCACTTGCCCTTGGAGCAAGTTTGTGAACGTAACCACGGTGGTAGTGGATCAAGGGTTGGACTTGATGATCTCAGAGGTCCCTTCCAACCCGGCTGATTCTGTGAATAAAAAGCAGTTTATCTGCTTTTCCAAAACGTGGCAGCCCCTGTGCCCTGCCCCAGGGATGAGCCACTCTCCTTCCCTCCTCCTGCTTCCTTCCTCCCCTCCCCACACCAGTCTCCTGAGGCGTTTCCAGCCCAGCTGCAAATAGCTCGGTTGCACCCAGAATTTAGGATCTGAAGACCAGGAAAAATGCAGGATTGAGTAAAAGTCACACACACAGTTCCCTCGGGGAGCTGCTGAGCAGTGAGGAGCTTCCCAACGTGGGTGTGCACAGCAGGTACCTGGCCTTGCTTGGACCCACTGCAGTTGTAAATCCCCCCCTCCCTGTGCCAGTTTTGCCCTCTCTGAAGGTTTAGATGCTGTTGGCCAGGACGGTGAACTCTGACAGCTGGGTTCTGAACCTTGTCCTGACCTCGGGATACGCAGCTCCTGACTCCGTGCATTCATTCCTGCCTCTGTAATGCTTAAATATAGAGCGGCCCCGGGGCTGTGGTGAGTCACACATTCCCAGGGACACTGTCAGGCTGTTGGCAGCTCCTGCAGCAGGGAGGGAGAGGTGACTACACCCGGAGGGAGAGGTGACTACACCCGTCCCAACGCTGGGTGCGTGCGCCTGTGTCCCCCATGCTTATGGGAGTGAAGCCCATCCCCTATGGAGCTGGAAAATCCCTCTTGGTTTCACACTGGGAGAGCAACTGGAGCTGCTCCAGCTCCTCTGGTGCATTCCCTTCTCCGAGCACGCTGCCACAGGTCTGTGCTGTGTCCCAGGATCCTGCCCTTGGTGTCCTGCTGGGGATGAGGGATTGAGGGACTGAGCACTGTCTCCGTGGGCTTTGGGTGGTTCCAGGGGTTGCTGGTTGGTGTTTGGCACGGGGAAGAGGCAGCTTGAGGTTCAGGTTAGTGGGTGATCTGTGGCTGCTTCAAAGGCTGGGTTGGGAGCCAGATGAGTCACTGATTATGGGAACAGAGAACTGCAGCTCAATGACGAAATACCCAAGTCTGAGCCGGGTCAGAGTCCAGCAGCTGCAGGAAGATGGGAAGGTGGGTGGTTGAAGACCCCCTGCCCTCATGGGGGCTGTGCTCAAAGTGTGTGAGCAGGTCCAGTCTCTCCAGGTGTCTCTGGACAGGTCCCTTCAGCCTTGTGCTGCCTTCCCGCATCCATAGCAGGGGATTCTGCCCCTCTGCCCCCTCAGAGCTGCCTCCAGCCCTGGGGAACAGCACAGGGAGGACAGAGCTGCTAGAGAGAGGTCCAGAGGAGGGATGAAGCACCTCTCTTATGAGGTAAGGATGAGAGAATTGGGATTGTTCAGCCTGGAGAAGAGAAAGCTCTGTGGAGAACTTAGAGCCCCTTCCAGTGCCTAAAGGGGCTCCAAGAGAGCTGCAGAGGGACTTTGGACAAGGCATGGAGTGACAGGACAAGCGGAATGGTTTTAAACTGACGGAGAACAGGTTTAGATATTGGGAAGGAATTGTTCCCTGAGGGTGGGGAGGCCCTGGCACAGGTTGCCTAGAGAAGCTGCGGCTGCTCCATCCCTGGAAGTGTCCAAGGCCAGGTTGGATGGAGCTTGGAGCAAGTTGGGATAGTGGAAGGTGTCCCTGCGTGTGGCATGGCAGTTGGAACAAGATGAGCATTAAGTTCTCTTTCATCCCAAATCATTCTGGGATTCTGTGGTACTGTCAGACCCTTCCCTTGATCTCATCCCTGCCCTGTGACATTCACAGGCCTTTTTCCCTATCCCTGACCCCATCCTGCCTTTTCAGCTGCAGCTGCCGCAGTCCTTACCCTGGTGGGGTTCCTCCTGTAGCTGTGATCCCCACGGACGTGCTCTGGCCAGGAGAGCCCCAGGGGGAATGGTGGGACCCCCCAGCACCTGGGCACTGGTCAGGGTAGCACAGGGCTCATCCACAGCCCTTCCCTTCCTCCAAGGGAGGGGCCAGGGCCTGCCTTGCTAAGCCGGGCAGCAGCACAGACTGGCTGGGCATGGAATCCACTTCCCTTTCCAAAATAAACCAACTCTGGTGCACTTCAGACTGATTTCCTATCCCGTGGCTGCCAAATCCACCAGCACATCAGCTGTGTCCGTGGGCAGTTCCCTGAGCCAAGCGCTCCCATCAGCAGCACAAGGCTCCATTCCACAGGCAAGAGGATCAAAGGCTTCTAAACCAGCCCTTGCTGTGATTTTTGCAGGTTCCTGATGGCCACAAATTAAGCAGGAGCTCCACTGCTCCCGAGGGCGAAGCCCAGGAATGGCTGTGCTCTTATAAAGCACCCAGGGTTTGGATAAGGAAGATGTCAGCCTGAGCTTCCTACACGTGAGTGCTTGGTCTTCCTGTGGTGCTGTTGGGAGTCTCTGGTGCTTTCCTCCCCCTCCTGGAACCACCCAGAGTAAGTGGTTCTTTGATCTCTAGAGTTGTCACCCCTGGGAAAGGGTCTCTCTGCTGTGCCTGTTTGGTGTCCCAGCCCTGAATCTCGTGTGGTTATTGAACCCCACACCGGCTTCTGCCACGAATCACTGCCCTGGGGAGACACAGGCTGAGCCACACTCTTCCCCCACACCTCCTTTCCCTAAGTTTTTGGGCAGAAGGTGCTTTTGGCCCGGCACTATCTGCCCTCCCCTTCTGCAGGCCTTTAGTTCCCTTAAAGTGTAGCATTTAACAGGAATTTGTGGCAGGAGCATCTCCTGCATAAACCCCTGTGTGATGAGATTTACAGCAGCCACATAGGAGGAGAGCTGGGTGTGGAGGATTTCTCACTGCTGATGGCAGTGGCTTTTATTTGAAGCCCGTTCACTTTTTTTTTTTCTTTTTTTACATTAAAAATTTTATTACAAAAAAAAAGTAACAGTAAGGCAGTTTCTCAGTTGTCAGTCACTGTGAGCCAAACAGTTTTCAATCATCTTTAATACAAAACTAGATTCACACAGGAGCCACGCTCGGGATCCAAAAGCCCTTGGAGAAATGATGGGGGTAAGGCAGAAAGCAGCAGCACCAGGGGAATCCCTTACAGTCAGCATTGGATGCATGGACACTACTGCAGTGGAGGGAGAAGAAAGGGGGATTGTCTGCAGTTTAAAAATATCAAATGACCCTTCTGTCATAATCTGGGGTGTTCCTGATGTGCCTCAGCAGATTGGAGGTTTAATTTTGGGGGATTTTTTCTTTTATTTTTTTTTTTAATCAAGTGAAATTTTCCACTGTCAAAAGACAAATTGATTTTCTTTCCTGAAGAATTGTCTTGGAGTAGTTCACTGCTTTGAAAAGTCGTGCACTAAACCATTTTCACTCCCCAGGCAGTGCCTCTTGAGAGACCTTCCTTAAAATGCTGTTTATCACTGCAAGTGCTCGCTGGTGTTGGGGTGAGGGAAGGAGCTGCTGAGCAGAATTCCCCAACTCGTGGTTCATCCTTGGGTGTTGGTTGAAGGGAGATGGGAATAGCAAACCCAAATGCTGTTTGCCACCTCTGTCCATGGTGCCAGTACAGGGCTTTCCTTTTGTGCTTGTTCACTGTGTGGGATTGGCTCCCTAAAAGCATTTATGGATACCCCAAAGGGAAGATCCCCAACACCACACTGATCACTGTATCCTTTTTGACTTGCAGGGAAGTGGCAGGAGTTACCTGCAGCTGTGGAGCTTATGGAGCTTAAGAAACTAAAAAAGATGGGGAAGAGAAAAAAAAAAAAGAAGACCCTGGATAGGAATGGAGATGGATGAAAAAGGGGAAAAACTCAGGTAGGAGGAAATAGTATGTTGTTTTTTTTCTAATTATTACAATTTAGTGCTCAAAGATCCTCTCTGCTCACCCAGTTCTGGGGTGGATTCCTTTAGATCAGCTACTGCTCTTGGGTTAGCAGCTGCTTGGAAAAAAGGAGCAGTACAGATGTGAGACTTTTTATTTGTGTCCTCAAGGTGCTGGATGGACTTTGCTTCCCATCTGCCAAAAGCACAGGCCAAATGCAGGCAGGAGCAGGGCTAAGGATGAGCAGTTCTGTGGGTCCCATTGCTACCAGGCTCAGTAGGAATTTAACAATATATTTTCCAGCAAAGACCTTAAAGTGTCTTCTGATCCTCCGACTATAGTACCTTAAACTGCATTCCCAGTATTCCAGAGGTATTTCTAGCACGTTAACAATTGGTCTTGTCTACGTTTGGCTCAATTGTCAAGATTTTATTGAGGCAGAAAACCCAATTAACCAAAATTGGAATTTTTTTTTCCTTGGTGAAGACTTCAGGCTTGACCCCTAACCAGTAAAACCATAATAATCCAGAAAATTGGACTGTTTAGGTAGAGTCAAGTGTGGCTCCCTTTGATTTTTTGTCCTCATGCTAGTGGAGTAGTTGGTTATTTTGCTATAAGAATCCTGCTGTGGAAGGGAAAGGGTTCACGAAAGTGAGCCTGCATCTAAAAAAGGTTCAGGACTATAAATAGGGTGACAGTTTCTCAGGGAACCTCGAGAGCTGTGAGGAGGACGAGGGTGGAGAGCGTTCTGTGAGGACTCTTGTGTCACCTCAGCACCTGAAGTCTCTTCACCAGTTTGAAATTCCAGCATCCTAAGGCACGGCTATTTCGATTAATGAAGATGGGAACACCCCCCCTTCCCTCCTGCCCGAGGAGCAGATGGAAGAGCTGGCTGCTGGGACAGAACAAAAGCAGCATTTGTTCACGTGGACAAACATTCCAGAGGTGGGGAAAGGTGGGCTGTGGGTGTTGTCAGGCTGCTCTGACACAGGCACAACACTGGGGAAGCGTCCCGGCCGTGCCTGTGGAACTGCTGGCTCGCATTGCCAAGGTTGGGAGCCACATTCCCCACAGGGGCCAAGAAGGAAGACAATTTAAAAAATCAGGGCTTTTGTGGAAGTGGGAAAACTGGTTAAAACATGGTAATAACCTGTTTTCCAGAGAAACACAAAGGATGCCCGCAGTTCTCAGCAACAGTGGTCAGGCACTCTGGGAAAGCAAGGAGCTGAATGTCTGGGAATTGAGGAACTGGAATGGGTTTAACTCAGCACTCCTTAAGAGGGGAGCCCTCCCATGACATCACCCATGTCTTCCCACACTGCTCAGAGGGATGATGGTGACAGGAACACCACACACAACACCACAGTTAGTTGTGGCCCTCATCTGTATTTTGTCCTTTTTTTTTTTTTTTCCCGGTAACACTCATAAACCTCAGTATTTTCTGTCCATAAAACCTCGGGGGGGTGGGTGGGTATTGGAAGGGAACTAAAAGCACATTTGTCCTGTCCACAGCTGAGGGTGGGGGGAACTGAACCTGGAGTGGAGTGTTAGTCAGTTGTAAACTGTTGGAGATGTGCATTTTACATGGACTGATACACAGGAGACGCCGACGGCTCCGCATCATTCCAGCTCCGATAAAGTGCACGGCCTTCGGAATTCCTGCCCCCGCTCGTGGAGCCACTTGTTGGATACTGCAAAGACACAAAGGGATTGGATCACTGCATGTGGGTAGCTCTTACTGAACCTAAATACGCTGTTGGTGAAGCACACCATTATCTTAATTTCTTAAAAGTGTTTTAATTGTGGAATCACAGGGTTTGGGTCAGAAGGGGCATTAAAATCATCTCGTTCCAACCCCCTGCTATGCACAGATGTGAAGTTGGTCTAATAAATACAGGAGGGGAAAAACTTCCCTGCAAAACTACAAAAGACTCTTAAAGGAGGTAGGGTCTTACATGTATTTAATACATATAATAAAATATGCTGCTATATGGAGTATCTATAGCGTATAGAGATGAAGCAGATAAAGTAAATTAAATAAGATTTATTTATAAAGAACTGCATTTCTTGGTGCTTTTTATCCCACCACGAAGTCCAGAGGAAAAAGAAAAGCAAGGCAAGGCACCACCCAAGGCCCAGGCTGGGGTGCCAGGCAGGTACTCACCCCATTTATTCCCCACTAGCACCGGGCAGGCCGCGTGCCGTGTGCTGTAATCGCCTTCTCCACTCGGGAAGAGGTTGTACCAGAACACAGCTGTTCCCTGGGAATGGCAGGGGACACCCTCAGCATTCTGCTCTGGGCAATACACACTTAAACACCAACTCACTTAAGGATAAAAGCAAAGGTAAGTGTATTTGTATTTCAGATTCTTTTATGCTGGAGGCTCCTTTCCACACTCTAATATTTGCTTCCTTAGGACTTATTCTGTGTCCGTGTAATACTTGGCTCTTAATTTTTTTTAAACCCCAGGCCAGTTTCATTGAAATCCTGACCAGTTTTAGAAAGCAAGATTATTTACTAAAAAGGAGCAGCAGGCCAGCCAAGGTAACCTTATTTGAGACCCTGCTGAGGGAAAAAACTAACAGGAACACGACATTTCAGGGAGAATTCCCTACAGATGCCTCAGGACTAGAGCAGCTTAGAGATCTGAATGTTTTCAGGATGTGTTTTGAAGCACTGTAATGTTTTGCAGAGTCTGTGCAGAGGAAGCAGCCAAGTTCCCAATGTAATACAGGGAATGTCGGGAATCACCATCAGTGCTCCATCACTGAACCATGAGCACCTCTGTGCTGCCATGACCAGGGCTGTGATTTTCCTTCTTTTGAAGGTTCATTTTAAAGCTTCTTTCATGCCCCTGCTGTATTTTGAGGAGGTGGAGAAGGGCAGTTCCAGCAGATACATCCCTGCTCACCTTTCTGGGCCAAACGCTGGCTCCTACTTCAGGAAAGACCGTGGCTCCCCCTGCTGACACGTCACTCATCTGCACAGGTGGGGAAACACATGTGAGAGCTCAAACATTCTCATATTTTAGTAAAATAGAACTGGGCTATAAAACAAGTTAATTTACACCTCCCTTAAAAAGGCTGAACCCTCCCCACTGTGTCCCAGTGCAACCCCAGCCTGCAGTGCTTGGGCAGCGAACAGGCTGTAAATACTGATGCAGATATAAAAATGAACAGCCAGGCAAGTAATTTTGAGTAAAATCCCCCTTACAGAAGAACCACAGGGTCTGGGTAAGAAGACAACAGTCCCCCAGAGTTTGTGGCTGCTTCATTTAGAAGTCACTTCAGTAAAAGCCAAGATGAAAAACAAAAGGAGTATCAAATCATTCAGGGGTACAAAATATGGAGGGACACATTGTTGGCACTAGCACGGGGCAGGAAGGTATCACTTACATAAAACAACCAAGTAGCAATTCTGTTGCCTGTTCCCAATTCCTTAAAAGCATCTGGCTCATCTTTCTGTGAACAAAAGCAAGCAGATTCCATCAGCGCTTCCTTTGGGCTGCCGAGAGGAGCCAATGACACAGAGTGGCTGAGGCAGCAGCACCGTGGGCTCGGGCAGAGGAATTAATGGACCCTTTGATTTGGAAGGAGGAGGTGAGAGTGGAATTGGAGTGAATCCATTAATTTGAATTAAGCAGGCAGCTTAAAATCTCTCTAGGGTGTGGAGGGCAGGGGTTGAAGGGACAGTAATCTGTCTGGGGATGGATAGGAAGGAAAGAAGGAAGGAAAGGAAGGAAGGAGCCTCAGTGTGCCCTAAGCACCAGGAATACCCAGAGCAGTGCACCAAGGCTGAGTAGTGCAG